AGAGTGCGGTGCAGTGCTTTGTCGATTTATGGATATCGCTTAAAGCTTCGAATATCGTTTTCGTTTCGATTTCATAAGCGGCCCTTGCCCCAAAACCTCACAGGCCAAGCCAAAGGTCTCCAATAAACCTGACTGAGCCTTGCCCCACCACTTTCCCACGTCTCCAAATCGCTCGTTTCGAGTCGAACAGCGACAATAATAATAAGCTTGGCATTGGTATTTGAAACGTAATCCATGTCTTATCGATTAGCAGTTGCTTTCTTTTCATTGATAAATTGCCTGAATGCATGACTGACTAACAGCCCGGCCGACCACTTTCTTGCTGATAGAATTGTTTGTTGTCGTTATTGCTGTCATTGTTATTGGAATGCGCAGGCATTGCATGCAAATGGCAAATAGCACACGTTTTTGTTGGCCAAAAACAAAACAAACTCAAACATTCAAGTGTCGTTGTCGGCCTATAAGCTGCAAATGCCGTTAGCAAACAAACAAATATACAAACTGTAAAATGAGTAAAACGTGTGCAATGAATGTTGCATGCGGCCAATTGGCGTTGCCAGTCCGTCCCGAATTAATTGATTCGAGACTCGAATTTAAGAGAAAAGAGAACCGGCATGCAGTAATATTTGAGAGGAAAAACATATTCATTTCTACTGATCAAAACTTGCTTTGCTCGAAATGGTGATCCAAATACTACTATATTACTATCAAATCATCTCTAGATTTAAAAATCGGTGATTTCAAATATTTAGCAAAAATTGCATTTCCTTTCGCAGAACCCAGCACGATAACTATGATTATTATCTGTCAGAATAATCCCCTCTTAACACCGACTTTCAAAGCTACTTTTAAAAGCTATTTGCAATCTACTTGAACTTAAACATTTCTCATAAATCTCCAACCGAACAAAACGACACCCTATTATTTCCATACTTTTTTATAAGAAATTCATTCCAAAGTTTGTTGGTGATGTTTTAATTTCTTAGCTTATATTTAATCCTTTTCGAACTTCATTTTCATTTTCTGCTTCTTAAAGAAATATTACGACCTATTCGCCTTTTAAATGTTGCCCAAATTTGTTGACAAATTCTAGACAATCCGGAAATGGGAAGAGGCCTTATTATGCTTAAAATTATCCTTAAGTGGATTACTATAGTACCTATGTAGGGGACCTACCATCAGGTCAAAGCTAACTAACGACTTAATAAAATGAATAAACTACGGAAAAAAAAACCGAAAAAAAAATATTTTTCAGAACAGTTAACAATGCAGCTTCATTTTCTATATATTCATTAATTAATGATTTTAATTTTAAATATTGTATATATAGAATTTATTGGTATTCTAGAAATCCATGTAGTGGCGAAAGCACCAGCATATGGTTTCAACTGCTTGCACTAATATTCCAGCAAATTTTGTGTGTTATTGAATCACACTTTTAGAATTTGGATTCAGAAGAAAGCATACTGGTATCCAATGCCAGAAATATTTTCGCCACCGCCTTCTTCACTTCTAAAATAAGTTTCAACTGCTTGCACTAATGTTCCAGCAAATTTTGTGTGTTATTGAATCACACTTTTAGAATTTGGATTCAGAAGAAAGAATACTGGTATCCAATGCCAGAAATATTTTCGCCACCGCCTTCTTCACTTCGCCAATAAGTATTTTATACTGAATTTTATATTGTTTATTTATAAATAAAATTATACACTAAAAGGCCGGTATTGCAATAATGTGACAACTATCTGGCAACCCAGGAATGAGCTGCCAAATTGTGGGCAATTGGCGCTCAATTGACGGCAGCTCCATGTTCCACGCTCTCACACGGCCTCTTGCCGGCCCAGACGGTGCTGGGAGCAGGCGCTTGCCCGCCTGTGCTCACGAGCCTGAGCCAAATTATGTAATGCTCGAAAAAGTTAAGAAAAATGAAAAAAAAGAAGCAAAATACGGCGTCGCTTGATTGCCACACTGAGCTCAGCTCAATTCATTTTGTATGTTTCGTTTGCATTAGCCGCAAGCCCGGTTTGCGATATATCGGCAGTGGTCGGATATGCGCTATATGAGGCATACGCGGGGGCATGGGGGACTCATTCAGTCAGTCGTTCACTTGGCCAGTTCAATTATATTGCACATACATATACAAGTATAGTAAGAGCCAAGAGTTGGTTGCATACGCAAATGAAATGAAACTGAATGGAATGGAATTCTGGCTGACTGCAGATACGAGCATGAAATCGCCGGCACAAAAAGTGAAATTTTTGTACAACAACAGCAATGGAGCGCTGCTAGGCTTTTGTTGTCAGGCCGAAGCCGGCCTAGCCAAGCCCTCGCCCTAAACAGTTAAATAGATTACGGTATTGGAAATGCTCAAAATATTCCGAAAATGCCAGCTCATGAATAATGAGCAGCGGCAGCAGCGCCATAGAGTCGATCAGCTGTTGCTATAATGAAGCCACAAAGATGCATATGAAATAGGCAATGCGATAGGCTCAGCCAATCGGTTGATGCCGCGTGACTGGAGGGGCACCCTGACCAGTTGCCACTCTGCGGCATCGCCGTTGATGCTGAGGTTCTAACGGTAGCTTGTTCTAATTCGGAGCAGTCGCATCAATTTCGTTTATTGTTCGCATTAATTGCAATCGAAAATCTCTAATGAACCACAACTATGCGACCAACCTCACAAATACATTCACATTCTACCCGAACAGATTGAATTGTAAGTAGTTTCTGTTGCGGTTGCTGTCGCTTCTGCTTCTGCTTCTACTGCTGTAGGTAGCTCTTATAGTCCCGTGTGAGAATGAAGAGATTGCTGCCTGAAAGTCATATTTTGTGAGCAGTCACGTAGGCCAGTGGCTGACAAGGTTGAGTGGCAACAAGAAATATGGTATGCGCAATGGCGTAGGCCATAGGGAAACTACACATGTACTATATGTACAGTAAAAAGTCTGTGGGCTGTAAATGGGCTATGCTGGAAATTGGTTGATCTCTTAAATTAATTGCTCTACAGATGTAAGATTATTCTTTCGCAAGCAATTGAAAGAGCTTTAAAAATCGATCTGTTTTTATAAGCTACATTTTTAGGGTGTCCCCCATCTCCCATACCATTAGCGCGATCTAGACATGCCTGCCGTTAACCCGCTGCAATTAAACGTGCTCTTAACATGAACATTACAAATTTATTTGGATCTTTTGATATTTCTCGCCCTTAAACTGTTATGATTTAAGGCAATGCGAATAGATTGTGGCCCCTGCTACTTTTTTAAATTTCAAGCAAATCGAATAATTCCTTAAATTGTTATAATTCTTTCTGTTTTTGGGAAGTTTAACTGCAATGTAAATAGAATATAAACGCTTAAGGCTGACATTTTGTCTCATAAATACGCACTTGGAATATTTGGTTGGTTTGATGATTGTTTTGAATAAAATGTAAACTTACTCTTTCTTAAGTTTTCGCCGTGTTGGAGTGGGCTTCAACTTTTCGAAGCTCCAATTATGCTTCAAGTAATAAACCCTTTGCAGGGTCTGCCATAACAATCTAGCTTTCCTGCTAATCAGTAATAAAAATTTAAATTCAACTTGTAGTGTCTAGTAGATGCAATCAAAAGTAGAATAAACTTAGTCTAAATCATATCTTAAACATTTTGTTTGTAACTTAATTAAACAAACAATTAACCTTTACTTGCTTTATGGGTTCATACCGAACGAGTTTCTCAATATCATGCTCAAACGCTTTGCCAAGTTTTCAAAGTTTCAAATATACTTTATTTACCTTATTTACATTTAAGTAATTGATAAATTATTAAGCTAATAAGCAAATTGAACATGAGTAGCTGATTATTCGTTTAGGCGGGCTCTTACTGTACCAACAATTAAGTGGATGCTGTGCACAAAAGTGCGTATGCGGAATGCGAAATGTGCAGCTTTTAGCACATGTGGTTTGCTTTTTGGCAACAATAACCATAAACTTAGATGTGCGAAAAAATAAAGAGATAATTACTAGCTAAGGCTGTCACTAATTTGTACAGCCACTGACTGAAATGGCACATCATGTAACCGCGTCATGCCCATGCGTCTTGACGCTTTTTTCTTTTGGCCATTTGCATGTCAAGTTGATATCTCAACGTTTATTCATGCCTAAACAATGTTGGAGCATTGAGACCGGGCCAAAACATGGTATTGTTTAACTTGACCAAGGGGTGGCCGGCACTTAAACACACACACACACACACACACACACATACACTCACAAACGAGTTGACACCAAAGATGACGTGTAGAGTAGCTTTTGTAGATCACTGTGTCACTGTGAAGGTCGGCGTTTCCCTCCAAAACTTAGCCGACAGCCGCTTAGCGGCTCATAACAATAAACAAACAAAAAAGTGAGATGCGAGCTCGACTCAACTAAGTTTTTCACAAAAAACTCAAAAGTATTCTTGACGTTCATCTGAATGTAACGGTAGAGGATAGCTGAAAAACCTTTACAGGTGTAGTAGAAATCAACTCAATCAAAATTTAAAAGAATTTAGTGCCTAAATCCATCTTGGAGGTATACTTTTTTTGTAATACCTTGTAGACCCTAAGATTGACTTAAAGTGTAAGGAGGAGTATGCATTGATTGTAAGGCTTATTCTTTACATTGTTCTGATATTCGTTTTTTATTTTTTGTTACTTTTTGTTTTTCTTTATTCGGGAGTTCCTGACATTACATTTAAGTTTTCCCGGCAGTAATTTTAGGTATCAATGGTGAAGAATTCGTTCAGTGGAATTCGTTTGTTACTAACGATGTTTCTTAAAAATCTTTTAGGCTGCCCATCTAAGCAAAAGGCAGCCACTGCCTGCAGGATGATGTCCTGCCTTACCCTGAAGTAGGACGAAGAATCTTGAGAATCTCTGCACAGAACTGCTCTCCTTCATAAGGGAGGTGGAGCTATTTATAATTGGGGCACAAAAGAGTGCTTCGAGTCTTCAGAAAGAACATTACCATCTTAGCTGTTACTTACCGGTACTTCCAGTCCATTTTGCTTTTGTGCAAATAGAGCGAGAGTAACGGCACATCTGATATTTCCGTCTCATGACCGCCAGCCTCGAGCAAAAGCACCTTCCAGTGTGGTATCTCGGAGAGACGGGATGCAAGCACCGTGCCCGCAGAACCGCCGCCAATCACAATGAAGTCATAGGCCAAGTCAACCTGTTTCACATTAAACGGCCGATTCTCTGGATCGAACAGATCGTAATTATAGTAGGCAATGGCTGCGATCAGGAAGGGCAAAATAGTGAGCTTGCCCACGCCAATGACTGTGGTGGTCAGCTTGATGGCGCCCGCAATGGCCAGACCCAGCTTGGACGCACCGACGGCAGCTACACCGGCAGTGGCTGCCGCCTTGGATGCGGCACTGGCCTTAAAGAGCAGACCGCCCACAGAGGCGGCTGCGGCGCCCAGAGCGGGCACCACAACCATATTATGCGCGTAACGCCTTTAGATTGAGATGAAACGTCCTGTCCGCGTATTTCTTTTTGACGTCGTCCACTCACGCACTCACAACAATTCACTCATTTCTTTGGAGAATTCAATTGGATTCGATGCGGACTCGGGTTGGGGACGGACCGGGACGCGCACAATGGAATGTTGACTGGACTGGCTTGGCGGCACTTAACGTGTTTAGTGATGGTCAGTTGTCAATTGCCAGCGGCCGTCACTCACGCGCGACTTCGATTTTGGCTTGTTGTTGTTATTGTGAATCACTTATACACTTTGCTTTCTTGTTATTGTGCACTTTCATTTCAAAAAAATTTAAAAAAAAGAAAGAAAATAATGAAGAAAAAATAGGTCTCGATTTCAATCGTGGCAACGGCAATTTCGGGGGCTCGATTGAATGACTGACTGACTGAGGGACTGTTTGGTTATTTATTTTTGGTTGGCTTGTGTTTTGGAAAGGCATCCACCTCGTTTGGCAGCCGTTGCGTTTCTGAGCCACAATAGCAAGTCGTGTGCGACGTTTTGTCTTGGCCTGGCTTTCTTGTTGCAAGCGGCAGAGGCAGAGGCAGCAGTAGCGGCGGCGGCGGCGGCGGCAGCGGCTGCGTCTCGTTCACTTGGTGTATGAGTAGTTGCGCATGCGCTCAGCATTGGCGCTCACTCACACACACACACACACACACACAAACACATACAGTTAAGTGCAAGCGGCAGACAGGCAGCGAAGCGTTCCAATGCTGTCTCGTTCACTTGGCTCCTGTTGTGTGTTGTTGCATTGCATTGCGAAACGGTTGGTTACATTATAACCGTTTCGAACCGTTTCGTTGGCCAGCAGGAGACGTCACTCACTACTACTTGGCTGGGCTGAGCTTTCGGTTTCGGGTTTTCTTCAATTGCGCGGACGACCTTCAGACTAATTCAACAGCTGTCAGCCGTTCTCTCTCTTTCCTGCTCACAATTTCTTTTTTTTCTTTTTTTGCCACTCTCGCTCTTTAACGAAGTGCGCTCTCACATATGTAAGTATGTACGAGTATGTATGTAAGCCTAGTGAGTGCGTAGCAATTACACAGATCCGTTAATCTGTGTTCTCATCGACATATTCGTATAACCTCTGTGAAGTCACAATAATATATGTACGTTTACATTTAAAAATAATGGAATGCTGGTAGAATTGAGTGAGCCCACCTTTTAGATTGAAATTAATATTTGACTCCTTTAGAGATGACATTCCACACTGAATTTGTGACATGTGGACGCGTAGGTGCTAACTACTCCTGGCAATATTTGACTGAAATAATCGGAAATACAAAATTTGCCATAAAACGCATTTAAACCTTTAAATGCTATAATAATAAAAAATAATTAAATAAATAAAACGACTCTACTTTATAAAGTACTACTAAACGAAAGTATTTTATATCCGAACTAATTGCACAAAATAAGCTGCGTTCTGCAAAAGTTCAGAGTTTTTGTTGTTTGTTAATGCCCCAGGTATTTAGTAATTATAGGCTGCCAGCAAAGACGTTCAAATAGTACCAATATTTTCGTTGAAGACTTAATTTCTTTGCAGTCGCAGACCCCTAAAGATGAGAACAAACCATAAGCTGTTTTCCACTGTGTGTAAATAGTTTTTGAGTTACATATATTGCCACTAAACTAGTATACTATTTCACCCTTTGGGTGCAGGGTACACATATGTCGCTATATTGTGTAGGTAGAGTGTGCAATTGTGAAAGTAATTTTAAATAGCGCATGATATTAGATAGTGTAGGTACATATTCGGCTTAAAGGCTTATTAGGCTTATTAGGAAGTACCTTCCCTGTAAGAGTTAAAGAAATTTGCAACCTTTGTTGCCATACCTGTCGTTTAATGTTGTATCATGGGCGCCCAGCACATGGCAGTGTTGCCGCATTTTCTGCCTCCCCCTCAATGTGTCAATCGAATTGCAAAATCAAATTTCACATGCCGCTTAGCACGTCTAAAAGGCCCGCCCGCCCCATTTTCCACTCCCACCGAATAGCCACGCAAAATGTAATGCCCGCAAATTAACGTGAGTGATCGACATTTGCTTGTCATCGCCATTGTTGCCAAAGTTGTTGTCATTGTTGTGCTGCAGTCCAAGGTCGCTGCTTGTCGGAATCTGCCGCAAACATAAACAACTAATCAGCAGCATACCAACATCATCATAGACCTGGCTTTTCTTGGCCAACTTTTTGAGTTTTCCATGCGAAAATCTTTCAATTTGCCACAATTAAGTGGCGGCATCTTCATTACGTCTTCGTAGTCGCCTCGGCCCACGGCCCTGAGAAATTATCGCGGCACGGCCCCGTTGGGAAAACCGGCCTAGACTAACAGACCATTAAACATTAGCGTTAGCTTGCTCATAACAATATTAAACCATAAATAAACGTTGGCCAATTCAGTTGACACTACCGGCTGCAGTGGCATGCTTGCCCAGCCCCGTCTGCCTCTCCGCTTCCGACGCCCCTGTGGCAGCCCTTCAATCAGCCATGGCTAGTGTCTGTTAGGGGCCGTAGTTGCTTTTGTCAAGGACACAAGTAAATGACATGTCATAGAATTTGTGACTGTGGGCCGAGCAAACCGCAGTTACATCAGATGCTAAATTATGGTGTGGAGAATCTTTTAAAGCCGAGTTCAAAAATCTTGGATAACATGGAAAACAAATATCTAACATACATAGCTCAGCACTTATCTTTATTATTATGTTTTTCGTTTTTTTTTCGACGTCATAAAAACACTAAACTTTTCACAACTCCACATAATGGAACTCACAGTTTTTGGAAATGCTGTTACTCGCAGGTGCGAATTGGAAAAGATTTAAAAAAGGTTGATGGATTCCAGATAGGTGGCAGTTCAAATGTAACCACAATTTCACAAAGCTGTTATGGATATAAGTGCATGTATTATATCATATTTAACCGATAACTTACTGATACCGATTAAGAACAAAATTTGGTAACAAAACAAGAAAAGCACTTAATGGAATCAATAAAGAAGCATATTTAAAACTCATTCTTGCCTATAGAAATAACATATTTTGTTAAAAAACTTGGTCGAAGACTTAACAGATTAAAGTATAAGAAAGCCAAATAAAAAGGTTAACAACTTTTAAATCCTTTAAAATTAACAACCAATAATTGAAAGAAAGCCATAATGTGGTAATTGGAAATATAAATAAATTAAGAACAGATGTAACCTTCAAAGAGGAAAAGAGGAATATTATTCTTGGAATACAAGTAACAATCCCTTATCCTTTAAATACGAGGATAGTCTCAGATGAAAACACAATGAAAATAACTTTGAAACCCTTTTTTATAGCCTCGCTTGAACGCTTCCATCTAATACTGTTAACTGTTTTAAACGAAGGAACAGATTCCTCTAAAGTAGAATTTGGCTCGGCTTTAATATTTGTTGTATTAAGACATTTCCAATGATAGTTTTGTAATAGGATAGCAAAGGAAAGTTGAGCAAATCGTCTTATATAACATTATTAATCATTTTGAATTTCCATTTAGTTCATAAACTTCTCAGCTCGAAATGAAAAACTTCACGCTGACCAGTCAGTTATTTATGATAAGCAGCAAGGCCTCATAATAGTTATAAGCAATTTCCGTCAAAAATTACACCACAATGAACCACAATTTCCGGCACTTATTCCACTGCTCCAAAGTTATCCAGTAATATGAACTATTTAATATTTAAGCGAACAAAAATAAGTAAACAAATGCCCGCTCACTGATTGCCTAATTTCTCAAAATTTGCCTAAAAGCATTACTGGCAATGTAATTAAAAAAAAGTGAAAAGTGAATACGTATACGACTACGAATAGATGCCCGAATCGGATCGGTGGGTACTTAGCATGAAGAAGAAGAAGTGACATAATGTGAGGTTTTATCACAGGAAAACCATCCGAATGGCGAGTGTAACATTGTGGAGCCGCCTCTACCCCTGGCCCACTACCCCCCTCCCCCCCGGCACAGTTGACATACATTGTTAGCCCATTGTCTGACTAACAGTCTGACTAACAGTAAGGCCCCGAAAGTTGAACAAACAGAGAGACAAATAGACAGGCGAAAGACGGACGGGTGGACGGACGAATAAGCAAACAAAACTGAAATTGAAAATGAACTTCATTAACCAACATCAGCAGCAATAGCAGAAGCGGCAGCAGCAGTACAAGTAGTATGAGGAATGAAGGTATGAAGTAACCCGGCAAGTGCGATACATGTATCTACTACTTATATGTATCTGACGTCGCGCCGTCTGTCTACCTGTCTCCGTCTCCGACTCCGTCTCTGCATCTGTATCTGTGCGCTACACAACAGTTTACAAAACTGTCTCATTGCCGGTCGGCCGGTCGTTACTTGCTCAGTGCGAGGCTCAGTGCTGCTTGGCTGGCCAACAGTAGCTTAAGTAGTTGCGAGTAAAGTCAGCTACTGCTGCTGGCTGCTGGCTGGTGGCTTACGTGCTCCATCGCATAATCCGTATCTGGGCTTTATGCTCACCTGTTGCTCACTGCCTGACTATCTGAATGCCCGACTGACTGGCACAAATCTCATCTAATCGCTTGCCTAAACTGCGCTTAGATTTTGGCGCGTCATCCTCGCTCGAAGCTCGACCTTCGTCGTAATTCATTTCTAACGCAATCTGCCGCATCTCGCTTGCGTGCGAAGCTTTTTTCTATCTCCCTATCTCTCTCTCTCTCTCTCTCTCTCTCTCTCTCTCTATTGGATACCCTATCTACCTAACTGTCTACCTGCCCACCAACTGATCCACTGATGCCTCATTTTATTCAATTTGTTGATGTAAGTGCCGGTAGCTAATTGTTCAATGCAATTATCGGTGGCACATAGTTTGTGGCACGTTCGACACGCACATTTCAATTATCGACCATTATTGCCTTTAGGTTTTGACCCACATTAGGAACTGGCCAGATGAGTGGACTATAAAAAATGGCATAATCCATCAAGAAAACGATAAAAAGGTATAGATAACAGAATATGTAACTAGTCGAAGGACAACACTGAGCTTAATTGTCGTTGCAAGGAAATCTTGTTCATTTTTGAATAAACACATTCGAGCCAAGGCTCATAAGTACTAGCATATCGACATAAATCTAATGTCTCCATAGTACGATCTATCAGCTTTAGTGATAGCTCTTGAGATACAATTCTCTCGCCTTCCTCACTTAACACCAAACTTATTAAACACCACAGGGAAGGAAATTAAAATATACAATAATCGGCGCTCAAAAACTCTCAATCTCTTTGCTAAAACGTCGTAAAGGTAATGTTTTAGGATATATGAAAGAAGAAAAGTCAAAAAGCACTTGCTAATCGTATATAGAGCAGCCTCTGATGATAGGTTTCCCTCTGCACCCTTATCCGCTGTTGTCCGAATGTCAAGAATCAAGGCATGAAAAATAAAAATATGCACGACTCAATATGTCATAATTTTAGAGTCAATACAGATATGTCTGCCAGCTCCTTCTTCTCTTCCATTTGTCATAGAAAACGTTTCGTTACGTTTTTCTTTTTTTTTAAGCTTTGCTTTGGAGAAGCAGAATCAGGAAGCTTAATATTCAAACTTCATATATTATATACTTTCCAACATTTTATGCAAATACTTATAAATAAATGTATTTCAGGAATTGGTTTTCATTTTATTTATAACAATCTTGTTTATGATTTCTTTGCGATAATGCTGTGCCCAAAGAAATGCATAGAGAATCGATAAATATACATGTAAGATGTAAGAGACAACAGCTGAGCATATTTTCCAGACTTGTGTAAAACCCTTTTTGACAATTTAAAATGTATTTTAAATATGCACTCATTTCCGAAACTCCCAAATCATAATATACATATTTTAACATACATTGTAATTCGAATAAATAATAATAGGCTCGAAAACTAACCCTACTTCACTGAATACAAGCCCGAATTCCCATCTACTCTGCAGTTGGCTTTCTGTGTAAGTTGGTGGCCAACGCCATTGGCGTGTCCATAAAGCTGCCACAATTGGATGCGGCGCTGCCTCCAGTAGAGGGCCCCACATTAATTATGATGAGTTTGTATGCATGCCGATATGTTATGTGAATGACAGAGTTGTTGTAGTTATTGAAGTTGTAGTTGTATTGTTGTTGTTGTTGTTGTCCGGTGCCCGCTGCCTATTGGCTTTGACACGCTCCTCTTTGGCGCCAAAAATCGTGTGACGTGTGGTGGCATTTCAATCACTTAATTTTCAATTTGAAAATATTTTTGGACAAACAAGTTCAATTGCTAAATGGCCAATATGTGCAAAAGTGAAAGTGCCCAATTGTCAGTGGCGGCAGTACAAAGAGAAACGCTAGTGCAGAGCTCCACACACAGTCAAGCCATCCCGCGAGTATTCAAACAATTGGCCAAGAGTCTGGTCTCTTGGTCTCTGTTGCTAATCAAACCACGAAATGAACTCGAAGCTGCATTGAAATAATAAGTTTTATTTTATATTTGAAAACAGTTCAACATTTACTCTTACACCTCTTTATATTGATCAATTGATTACATGAAATGATTGTTCCAATCGGATTTCAACGGTCCTTATCAGCAATATGGTATATAACTAACTGGAGATAATGTGAGTTTCCCCCGCGCTTGGCAAAAGCAAAAAGGAAGAAAAGCGATCCATTGCTGCTGTTGTTTGGGAACAGAGTACTGGGGTTAAATTACTGTTGTTGGAACTATATACAATTATGGACAGTATTGACAAAATTAAAAAACGAATATGCAAGTATGTTATATTTGTGTGATGTACGTATGTATATAGCTTATTTCAAAATGAAAGACAATCCAACTGTGGAAGAAAAATTTCATTTTGTGAAATTGAAAAAATTTTAAAAATAAAATGTTCGTTTTCAGCTAAAATTGGGTTCTTTTTTGTAAAGAGCTCTTAGCAATGGTTCTGACAATCTAATCAATTGTTTATATACTCTTACTCTCAATCTTTTTCACATTCAATTTTTATGTTTTACGTTTTATTTGCAAATCGATCAATTCTTTAGCTTTTTCATAATAATTTTCACGAATTGTGAAAATTGTGAAATCTGTAAATCGATCAATTCATGCCCCATTTACATTTACATCGAATCTAAGTTGATGGATTTTTTAATCAAAGTTTGTAATTTCCCCACCATTATTCTGTTGGCATTTCTTAATTAAAACAAGTAAAAAAGCTAAAGTCGGATGTCCCGACTTTGAAATACTCTGTACATATGTTTAGAATAATTATAGAAAATAAAAAAAATTAAGAAAATAAAAAAAAACAATTTGTTCGATTTTACCTCTTTTGGTATTCGAACTCACGTAAAGGGTGTATAATTGCACATATACAAAGCAATTGCATCTATGTGAGTGTATGTATGTATACGCTCGTATATTCGTGTCTGAGTAAACATGTTAGCAGTCAACCAAAGCACCAGCATCAACAACAGTCGCGGGCAGCGCTTGAGCAGCGCTGCAGCAGCAAATATATTTATGGCTATAACTTCTTGTTAAATCGGTCTATCATAGTGAAACATAGTGAAACTTGGCATACGGACATATAATAACTAACTGGGGGTATTTACAAAATTTAAGTTCGAAATTCCAAGAATTAAGGGAGTTAGAGAAAATCGCATTTGCGTGGGAGAGGGGGGAGGGAGGGAAGTTCCAAAATACACATTTTCTGCGTATTCTCAGAAGGCATCTGGGACTAAAATTTGGTGTCCGTAGGTCTTATAGTCTCTTAGATATAGGCGATTATACGAATGGAAAATCGGGAAAATCCCCATAGAGGGGAAGTGGGGGAAAATCAAAAAAAAAAAAAAAAACTTGCACAGCGTACACATATAACGCATCTTTGTGCAAAATTTGGTGTTTCTATCTCTTATAGTCTCTGAGATCCAGGCGTTCATACGGACAGACGGACAGACAGACAGACAGACAGACAGGGCTAGATCGACTCGTCTCGTCATGCCTCCTTCTGCCTGTTACATTTTCAGCTCCCGCAAACCTAACATACTCTTGTACATTTTATGTACAGAGTATAACAATAACAAAAAAGTGGACAATTTAAATACGAATAAGTTGTGCACAGCAGTGAGATGATTTAGTGATGGATATTGATACTAGGTCTATTAATCATGCATAGGTATAGTGGGAAGAGTGTTTTTTTTTTTAAGGAAATCAAAAGGTACAGTTTTCTCCCCACAGTTTCTGCCCACAGTTTGATTCTTACAGTTTGAGTAGAACTGTATAAAGATTAGCCGGCGAGTGCAAACACAGTTCGGCGAGTGGCGCCTACAGTTTTGTGAGTAATAGGTTCGTATATTTGCTAAATAAAGCGATAAAAAAGCTACTTTTAACAATTCTTTAATCAATAAAAAAAAAAATACAATGCACTAGTTCGTTAATGGGTATGCTCGAAAATTTAAAGCTCTGTGTGCTGCTGCAGATAATCCTCCTTGATCATGTCGGCGCCCTTCTCGCCGATCATGATGCAGGCTGCATTGGTGTTGGCCGCCACAATGTCGGGCATAATGCTGGCGTCCATGACGCGCAGTCCCTTGGCGCCATGAACACGCAGTCGTGCGTCGACCACAGCGGTGGGATCGCTGGCCGGACCCATGCGTGCTGTTCCTACCGGATGGTACACTGTTGTGGTCATGTGACGAATATAGCAGCGCCAATAGTCGTCCGACTGGTAGGTGAGTCTGTTGCAGGCGTCTAGATCGAGCTTGTGCAGCGCCATCTCGCGCTCTCCAAACGCCTGGGTCTCGGGCAGACGCTTATAAATGTTGAGGGCACGAATATAGGTGTCCACGTCTCGCTCATCGGTCATATAGCCGGGATGTATTAGCGGTGCGTCCAGGAAGTTGTTGCTCTGCAGCTCGATACTGCCGGCCGAGAAGGGCTTCAGATGGAGCAAGTAGGTGATGTAGGTGTTGGAGTGTTCGTTGGCGGCCAAAATGCTTTTAGCCACGCGCTCATTGAAGCCAGTGGCAGCGACATAGCCGCGCAGCTCCGGACTCTGCATCAAGCTGAAGAAGTTCGTGGTCTGTATGTCTGGATTGGGGCCGTGTATGGACGTGGTGTTGATGAAGCCCGTCAATGCAGTGGCCTCGTGATGCAACAGCTTGCTGTACCGGCCCATCAGCAGGTTATACATGGCATCCACCAGCTCCTCTTCGGTGGGCTTGCGTGCCGTTGACTTGTCAATCTGAAAGATGACGGGCAGACTGGCGTGATCCTTCAAATTGCGGCCCACGGGCAGATCCAGTTGGACGGGTATGCCCACAGACTTGAGGTGAGCGGCCGGTCCAATGCCTGTAATGCACAAATATAGTTAGCTAAAAGGAAAACTGACTGCTTCAAGGACTATCCTACCCGACAACATTAGCAGCTGGGGTGTGCCGATGGCACCAGCTGACAACACAATTTCCTTGCGGGCGCGTACCGTGTACTCCTTGCCATTACGGTGCACGAATGTAAGGCTCTCGGCACGCTTTTTCGCATTCAGATTCAGACGCTTGACGTGCGCATGGCGTATAATATGGAGATTGGGCGTATCCTTGCTTAGATGGGAGCGTGCCGTGGTAATTCGACGTCCACCGTCTTGGGTGCCAAGTATGTCGATCTGGCCGACAAAGGAGCCCTCGGTAAAGTCGGCCGCACTGCCGTAACCCAACTCCGCCATGCCTGCCCGTATGGTCGAGCGGAACTCGTTGTCGGAGACATAGTTATTAATGATCATGGGTCCACCTACACCATGATCGCCAGGCACGTAGTCTGTGCGCGTGGAGCGCAGATCCTCAGCTTTGCGGAAATGTTTCATGACCTCGTCGTAGCCCCAGCCGGGGTTACCTCGTCGCTCCCAATCGTCGAAATCTTCACGTGTACCACGGGCATAGATCATAGCATTCATACCATTGGTGCCGCCCAGCATTTTTCCTCGTGGCCAGTGGCAGCTCTCGCCCTGCATGGCCATACAGGCGCGTCCACTGGGCTGTGTGTGGTACTGCCAGTCCCAGGCCGAGAACTGGGTAGCCATGTGCCAGCCGACGAATTCCGTCTCAATGGGTGGATCACCGCCCGCTTCCAGTAACAAAACACGCCAGTCAGCATGCTCGGCTAGCCTGCCAGCCACCACAGCGCCGGATGTGCCCGAACCCACTACAATAAAGTCATAGTCATGTCCTGTAAAGTCGCCACCCTGATCCAGCCAATCTCCATGATCGGCTGGCCACTGCTGCTGTCCGCTAAGGTCACAGTATTTGGCTATGAGCGTGTGCAGCAGCAAGGACATCAAAGTATTGGCCGGTCCCGCAGAACGAGCGGCACACTGTGCGCTTAGAAACTCCATAACGATTGTGTTTGTGCTTCCGCTGCTATTCCTTTATCTCGTAGCTCGTAGCTCGTGGCTTGTGTCTCGTAGTGCGTATCGCTACGTCGCCGGAACGCGACTGTGGTCCGGCCGTTGCCAGCGCTCCGCCTTTGTATGGAACGTCAGCCAGTGGCCGTAGAATTTTGTATGCCGGCTACGTTCCCGCAAATCATTCGCACCATTTGCATGCACCCATGTACATAAATTAGCGCACCGCACCTTCCCATCTTGAGCCCCATACGCTCCGGGTAGGTCGCACCTATGCGCCTTTATCGCTGCCAAGATTACCATTGACATTGAATAGTTGGCAGAAGGCAGCACGCAGCGCACAGCACAGCACACCACACATCACACACAGGAGGCAGCGAGATAAGCGCTACGATAGCCAACCAATAGGTTTATGGCTAGATCAGTCCGATAAGTTCAAGTAATGAGATAAGTCAGCAACAAAAGTCGTCCGTATCTCTATGCGGCCACATGATTAGATGCGACTACTTTCGCACACCGTGTGGGTGCAGTGAGCAGAGCAGCTCATCAATATACAAGACTACACATGCACAGCTGGCGCCGCTAACTGAGGCATTTCAATTGCATATGTTGTTGTTGTTGTTATTAAAGAATTCATTTAACCATCGGATTACATAAAGGAAGGTGCAGTGTGCGCCCTCATTGTAATGGGGAAGAGAAAGAAGAGCTTGACTGTTTTGTTTTTGTGTTTTTTCATCAAATGATTTAGTGCCTGAGTGCATTAAAAAGACTAATTCCCTGTTTGCAGTGAGCGTTTCATATAAATGACCCACTTAAATACACATTTGCACCAACAATATTTATTGATCAGCTTTATGGTCACTAGGTGGCTTTGTTTCTAGCGACTTGTTTTCCGGCCTATGGAAAATTTTCGACAGTTCATATCAAATCGTATTGTAGATTACATTTTTCCACTACGTATAGGGTATAAGAAAGAATACTTTAAAGTCCTCACTCTATTTGAACAGATTAAACCAGTTTCATTTTGAAATTCAATTATCAATCTTGGGCCTGGCATACTTGTAACTCAACGATCTAACACGAATTCCACAATATAAGTTCCTTTCTGAGTATGATTCGGTTTCGAATCATCGCATAAACGAAAGAATGCTTTAAAAAATTCTTAAAATTCTGTAAGAGTGGTTCTCATACATAAATATAAAATATCAAATTGTCGTTTTATGGCCAAATCTGCAGGCCGATTCGCAACATAATAAAATAAATAAATCATTCTTGGACTTAAATTTGATCGAAATACATTTATATTTATAGAACAATTTTTAAGTAATTGAAAATAAAAATCCCCAAGCGGATATATATTTTTTACGATTAGACTTTGGCTAAAATAACCTACAAGATAGCAATCTTTTCTGGACTATTTTGTAACAGACATTTTTAAATTAACATATTTGTTAGTTCTTTAAATGGAAAATACACAAGTTTTATATAATTGTTTATTTAATTTAATTAATTATTTAATTGAAACATCATAAAGTTGCACTTTGAAGTTTCCAATATTGATCATATTTTCAAAGAATATTTAGAGTGCTCTCTCTCTCTCTTGTATATACATATATTGACTTTTATTTTAAATCAGTAGCTTAGTGTATTAATATTTCGGCTTGGTAATAGGGATGTATTTTTTTATGATTTCTATCTTATATTCGTTAGAGATATGAGCCTTTTAAATACTGCTACCTTTTCAAGTGGTACTCAGTACTCTTTTTGTGTTTATTGTACTTTTTACAGCTTATATATATATTTGTATATACGGATTCGTAAATACATATGTATGTACAAGTATATAAGTATTTGCGTTTTTTATGTTCAACGTATTTTTTTACAGCTTGATACCGATAACATTCATGACATTACTTTTCACGTTAAAGAGTGCAAATTTTAATGCATTCAAGTAAATTACACTTAATTTAAATAATATATTGGCTGGCTATGGCGATAAGCATGGACTAAGTATATAAAAAACACATTATATGCAGATTAAAATAATGAAAACTAACAATTCAAGTGCCTTTATCTTTAAGTTGAACTGTTAAGAGCGTATCTGTTAAAGACTTCTGTTAAGTGCAGCAATGAAAATGTTAACGCAATAACAGAACTGTGGACTGCATTTTAACATTACACTTATCGTTTGCTTTTTTTCACATTAACAACTAAAGTTTCCACTGCCAATCACTAAGGTATGAGACAGCAAATTTATATTAAAAATGTATACAAATTAATAAAAAATTAAGAATAAGCATTAGTGTAGACTAAAATATCTAAGTCGCAAAATAAAAACAAGTGAAAAGTATTCTTCAGTTTTTACTTATGTGCAATAGAAATTGAGGAATTTAAATTAATGGCTAATCGATTAAGATATTCTAATAACAATCGCTGCCTTACAATTTGAGTATAAGACTGTTCTTTCGAACACATTAGCTGCAATCAGACAGGCAAATTATTTGCACACAAATCTTTGCTATTTTACAAGTATGCCATTAAGGTAATGTGAGTTTAGTCAAAAATTAATAATAATGCTTTGTAAATTTCAAATTTACTTTTCAATTATTTGATAAATTTGTGTGCAAATTAATCCCATTGCTTCCATTGCAAATTTAATATAACTAAAGGCTAAAGCAAAGCTGCTATTACATTAAAAACTGACCGACCCCATCTAGCCTCAAATAATACATCATTGACGTAATTTAATCTTTGCAAGTCATTTGCGCTGATAACGTTGATAACGGAATGAAATTAATTGTTAGTGCTTGTGTAAAATTAGTCAATATTTGAATAGTTCCCAAGTGCTTTGCGGCTGATTATTATTTTAGAAGGGGCTGTTACGACTTGGTTTGATTAATTTATAGCTATATTCGAAGCATACAACAAGTATGTTCGGATTCTCAATTTTGTTTCCTCAGAGCACCAATTGGAGATGGATATTCGAGTGCGAGAGTAAAATGAAACAGTTTCATTTATTTGTTTAAAATAACTATTTTAATACATTATTTCTATTCACCAAGTTAAAAAAGTAGCCCAGGTACCTATTTATGCCGTGTACCTTTTTGGCAGACTTTTGAAACAAGATTTCATTTGCTAATAGCCGAAACATTTCCCGAGTAAAGCTATTTAGAACAGGTTATCTAGCAAGCTATAAAATGTGTTGTATATACTTATGTATAAAGCAATAAGGATTCTTAATTGTAGCTAAAAAAAAAAGAAAGAAAATAGATCAAAACTTCCACGCTAGTTCATTCTTCACAAGTCATCGTCATGCCAGTGTTCCTGCAACTCCTCCACTGATTCGTCAGACTCAGAGTCAGAATCAGAGCTAGACACAGAGCCGAGCGACTCTCCTGAATGTCTCGACCAATCTTGCCTAATGAAGTCCACCGCTCGCTCGGCAATCATGATCGTGGCAGCATTCGTATTAGCACTGACCACGGCTGGCATAATGCTGGCATCGGCCACACGCAGATTCTCAACTCCACGCAGCTGCAGGCGCGGATTGACGCACGCCTGCGGATCACTAGGCGGCCCCATTTTGACGGTGCCGGTCTGGTGGTAGCAAGTACCAGTTATATATCGCACATAGCAGCGCCAATATTTGTCAGAGCGGAACTTGTGGGCCTTGTCGCACTCCGAGATGGGTATGTGGACGATCTCGGCGGCGTGGGCGCGATAGGCGGCGGTGCGCTCGAGAGCCTCAAGATATCGTATGCCACGGATCATTGTGGCCACATCGGACTCCTTTGTAAGGTAGTTTGGCTGCAACAATGGGGCATCTGTGTAGTGGTTAGTGCGCAGTCGCAGTTCACCCACCGATTCCGGATGTGAGACTAGCACGAAGACGGCCATGATATGCGCTTGCTGTTGCACACGCAGCAGATAGTCCAGGTATTGCTCGTCCATGGAGAGTCCAGTGCCGAAGAGACGCAGGGCGTCCGATTGGCCACGTTTAAAGAACAGATGATGGTTCTCTATATCCGGATAGACGCTGCGACTGCTGGTGTTCGTGTTAATGAATGACACCAGCGACGCTGTCCCATGGGTGGTCAATTCACCGCGCCGATGCACCAAGTACTCGTAGACCATGTCTAGCATCTCTTCGCGTGTAGGCAATGGTGCTCTGCCCTCGTCCAACTTGATGAAGATCGGCGTGAGCACATGATCCTGCAGATTGCCGCCAACACCAGGCAAATCGTGCACAACTGGCAGCTGCAGCTGCTCCAGATGTTGCCGTGGACCGATACCGGAGCGCAGCAGCAGAGCTGCCGAGTCAATGGTGCCGGCTGACAATATGGCTTCTCTTCCCACTCTCACCTTGAGCGGCCGCTGTGCATCTCCGCGCAGCACGAAGCTCACAGACTCCACACGTTCGCCGGCACGATCGAAGTTCAGTTTCGTCACTTGGGCATGCTTTATGACGTGCAGATTGGGACGTGAGGAAACGCGACCCAAGTGTCCTTTGCCGGTGCTCATGCGTTGACCTTTGTGTACGGTGCCAGGCACGTAGGCGTAGCCGAGAAAGCTGCCGTCTGTGAATTCGGCGACGGTAGGTACGCCTAGTTCGGCGCCACCCTCTTGTATCATGGCCAGAATATCCTCTTCACCCTTGTCGAAGGGATTCAGTGTGACATAGCCCTGTGGATGCGTCGCATTGCCCGTTGGATGCACCGAGCGTGCAAAATAGGGCAGCACATCCCGCCAAGACCAGTCCGTGTTTCCCTTCGCCGCCCATTCATCGTAATCTCTGCGGTTTCCGCGCAGGTACAGCATAGCATTGGCAGCTCCAGAGCCACCGATCATCCGTCCGCGAGGCCAGTAACAGCGACCGTCACGCATTCCCTTACAGGCTTTCTCACTGGGCTCCGTGAAATAGTTCCACATGAAGTTCGTGTGTTGTAGCGCAAAGAAAAGCGCGGGAAGCTGCGGTTACGAGAGGCATCGTTTATTCAGAGGCTCCAGTAATTATTTTTTTTAGCAGACTCACCTCAGATTCCACGGGCGGATCACCGCCAGCCTCGAGCACAAGAACACGCCATCGGGGGTTTTCACTTAATCGACTGGCTATCACAGAGCCCGCAGATCCAGCACCAATAACGACAAAGTCATAGGGCTCGGGCAGACCAGATAGCAGCGCCTCGTCGCCATAGTCGGGCGGCCAGTAGCTGGCGGGTGAAACGGCACACTCGGCCGCCAGTAATGCCTGCACCAGAGTACTAACGAGACCTCCTAGGGTACCCACACCGGGTGCGGTGCAGTGGCCAGCGGTGCTTCCCAAATTATTGGCAACGTCCAGCATCTTGGCTTGTAACGATTTGAGTCGCTGCCAACGCACGCTACGTGCTTTTATAGACGCGATAAGCGTTCCACTTAACCAGCTGCAACCTTAGCGGCAGTTATCAGCACCTCCGTCGCCCTCCTGCCGATCGCCGATCGCCTTTCGTTATTTGTATTTATCATTTGTTTCTTATTTTTCTTAACATTCCCTCCAACGACGATGTCACCAACACTGATGACGATCCGAACTGCTGTTAATGCTACTCGTGCTGATACTGATGTGTCATGTAGCAGGCGCCGCTCAATATCTGAACACGTGCCTGCGGTAAATCCAGTCGGGCCTGTCCACGTTGACCGGTCACTTAGAGAAACCGAGGGATATAATCAAAATGAACAATAAGCAAATAAGTCGAATATTACCTGAATTATTACAGACTATTACAGATTTGTTTACTCCGAGTGCGCGAACTGTTCATAATTATAATCGCATCTTTAGCATTGACTCTGCCCCAGCAATGCTCACATTCATCAGCATTATTCGCATTTTGATTTTCAATGGGCTGGCAAGCGATCGATGCAACGTTGCATGTCCATTGTTGGGCTCGCTCCACGCCCCAACAGCGTTTGAATCGGCCCAAAACAATTGCCACTGCATTTAGGGGCCAATTTGGCTTTTGTGCTGTTTTGAAAAAGAGAACATACCAATTGAATATTCTGATCACCTGAATTCATAGCCACATTAGCAACCCATTCATTTATCAAACACCCACTTACTGCGTCCACAGTAAATGTGTTCCGTAAACCACATATCTTTGTCTATGTGTCTATATCCGATGAGAAGTGCTGAAAGTTTGTAGAATTAGAACCAAGCCAACTTAGCTCCGAATCAAATCGGAATCGGGAGTAGGCCTTATTATGCGAGTATCAAACTTCTTTCTAATTTGGTCAATTTTTATTTTAACTTATCGGGTATTTCAATTTTTCGCTTCTTCAGATGCTCTTACATTGAGAAAAAGAAAGCTGAAATCACCTTAAAATATAGAAAATCCCTCCATATAGTGAATTCTTTTTAAAAATTAAGAAAAACTAAACAATTTTCTTTGGTATATTTTTAGTTTATTCGAAAGAGCAAACATTCTCGTTATATATGAATGATTTCATTCATGTGGCAGGTAGTCCAAGAACTCGGTTTCTGGCAGTATCATATAAACATCGGTATTCGCCTCAAGGAAACAAAGCCAACTTTTTCCCAGGAAATTTTAAAATTTGTTCTCTAAATATGGATATAAATGCAAGAACAAACATCCTAAATTTGTGGGAGCAAAAAACACTTCACGCTAGTAACTTAATCCAAAACATGATTTGGCCGAAAAATTCCTCAACTTGGAATATGGTTCTTAAAATTACAAAAAAAAAAAAAAAAATCTTAAAAAAAGAAAATTGTTTTAAAATTTTATTTAAGTATTTTTTCCAGTGTATATTTCGAAAGTATAATATTTGCAGATGTAAAACTTCGGCAGGAATTTGAAACTCAAAAGAAATTAGTTTTTCATAAAGAAATATAAGGTTTGTTTACAATTATTTAATTTTGTTAATAATTATTTTTTTGTACCGAAAGCTAATACAGATACATATTATATATGTACATATATATTTATGTATGTATTTATGTGTTCATGCGAATCTGATATTCAGGGCCAGAAACAAACAAAAAATGAAGAGAAATTCGAATCTGGCTTTTCATTCATTGAGTAATTTTTATAATCCAATTAAAAGCTGTATAATTTGAGAACAATTTTCGTTTGATTTATGCAACGGCCCAACATTTAAACATATAGTACTACTATATATTCGTGTACATACATTTTTTTATTTTGCAATTCAAGGCTATTTGCTGTTTTCAAGTGCGACTGATATGAATATTCAAAAATCCATTGCAAAAAAGCATTTTCCTAGCTCTTAATGTCCTTAACCATTATTTTTCGTGCTTCAGTTTTTCCTATAAATCTGGCCCCGATAACAAACCATTACGAAAGTGCAACGTAAAATGCAGCTTTGCATACAAACGTTGGAGCCCCCTTTACCCTCTTTGGGGTATGAATTGCTCATAATTAGTTGTATAATTGCATAATTAGTTGTAGACTAGGGCGTCTTCTGGTCTTCGTGTTAGCCAAATTTTGACTCTCATTTGAGTTCGTGAATGTGTTTATTTGCCTTGTTTTAGTGTAGGCCGCTTTTGCGATAGAAATTGCGTTTAAATTATTCTTGCTTATCAGACAAAAACATGGCCAGGCAAATAAACGAGACTTCACAAACTTATTTGTCCACACCTGCCGGGAGTGGTAGTCTAATTGTGTTACGAAAAATTCGCTTAATACACACACAAACTAAGCATTATTTAAGCAAAAAATCTTTACAATCGTATATCAAAGAGCAAAGATAAGTTTTATGCTCTGAATTAAAAATAGGCTGCGTAGATATCCCAACTTTTTGAAGACAATAGCACCTAAGGCCTATACCAATATGTTTCATGAAAATAAATAAATAAATAGTAGTTCACATATTATCAGATGATGGTGTGATCAGGCTTAGCAAGGTTATTGCTCCAAGTTGCGCAAAAGACGGCGCTAAGCTGTAATACGATTATTTACCTGCCCTATTCGAGGTCTGGGAAAGACGCAGATAGTGAGTATAGCGAGCGACATATTATCGCCTTTATTACGAGTATTATGAATATTTAAAGAGCATATAGAACGAGTATGTGTGGTATACATATAGTATGTGAAAAAGTGAAGAATTGAAAATGTTTGCATAACCCATTAGGCGAATTTAAGCAACTCTATCCGACTAGCCATCACTCCCGATGTGGCGGAACTTTTTACAGGCCGCTGTTCATGGCATTGCGGACGAACTGAGCTGGCGCCGGCGGCTCTGCATTCGCCGAGGCGGCAATCAAATTGGTGACGGGAAACAGATTGATACCAGCACTGAGATCTGCATCAAAATCGAGTAATTGAGACCCATTTGAGACTATCAGTCTGCATGGTGGTTGCAATTAGGACTCACCCGAAGGGTCGCTGAATGGTGGCGATGGCTCGCTGCTGGCAGCTGGCGCCGGAGCTGGTTCGGGCGCCGTCTCCTGCGCCGAGGCGGCGAAAAAGAAGTCCTGGGGCATGGCACTATTTGGTGGCAGCTGCGCCAGCGCAATGAGCAACAGTTGTAGGATTGGGAGCTGTATGCAACGCGTCATTTTGCTAGCAGTCGACGGCGCGTACTGAGGCGACGCCGTGAAAAGTTTCGAAAAACTCTAAGACGCCAAGCATTGGAGCAGTGGAGCGGAGTGGCACGGGGCCGAGCGACGGCATATTCAGTGGCAAATTGCTGCCGCAAACTTGTCAAACCCGTAAGCGGCGTTGCCTTTGCCATTTGGTTCAGCGGTCTCCGATCGCGTATCGAGCGAATAAATTACACAAAAGACAAAAACAAAACATAATAATAATAATAAACAAAGGTGAATTGCAAACCTCTGAGTCAAAGCGGCCCCTGGGACGGACGGGCTAATGCACCCTGGGTCACAGAAGGAAATTAATAATTAATTTTATGGCATTGCTCATTTTACAACTTGAGCCATGTACCCCATTTAGAGGTTGAAGTTTTTTTAATTTATCCAAAAATTCAATCCAAATCCACTTTATTGCCATTTTAGGTATAGCATAATTTTTCCCTCATAATTTTTCTCTCATAAAAGGTCTTTTCGTTCCACTGAATGCATTTTTTTTTTGTCACTCAGAAAATACCCCATCTAGAGGTTGAAGTTTTTTAATTTATCCAAAAACTCAATCCAAATCCACTTTGTTGCCATTTTAGCATAATTTGTCCCTCATAAAAGGTCTCTTTGTTCCACTGAATGCATTTTTTTGTTGTCACTCAGAAAATGTTTTAATGATAACCACTTGGTGCGAGATCTGGCTGATCTGGTGGATGCATTAATCAAGCTCCCGGAGGGAATATTTTGTATTGGCCAGTTCTGGTCGCTTCTTGGCAATCGCTTGCTTCAATTCAAACTCTTGACAGTAGAGGTTCGAATCGAGTGTTTGGCACTGGAGTATGGGATCTACCAAATGCACTCCGTTTAAGAAATGGGTCGATTTCATTCCGTTTCCCCAACGATTCGCAGATGGAAACTCGTTCCAATATCCACCCAGCCTTTTGTGGTTTATGTTAAGCTCTGCAACGATGCTTCTGCTACTGACATTTTATATCCACGATCTTAGCGCAATTTTCGAAAACGGGTCTACCTATGAGAAGTCCGTCTTTCACGTTGAAATGCTTGGAATGGAATCGTCAAAACCAAAACTGGGCATAAGACAGTATCGGGGCCATAAACAAGAAGTATTGAAAAATTTAAAAAAGATTTTTCCCATTGGGCAGCCATGTTTAATACAATTTATAGAACTGACCGAAGAATCCCACACTTCCAATGAGCTCAAGCATAAATTAATACTTTGCGAACTTTGCGAATATTTCAGTTGACTAAGTTGGATTTCTCTCTCCCAAGCCCAATATATATTGAAAAGTATATACTTTTCTTTATTTGCTGCAAATAAACTTAAATACAAAATGTATTTGCTTATAAGCCGTGTCAGTTTATTAAAAAAAATAATTGCTTACCTTTATATTTCGAAATCAGAAAATTATTATAAAATACTCCTTTTTTCAAACGCCTTAAGAATACAGGAGACCTTTAACTTTTGTAGCCTACTTTTTAAAGGTTTTCTGCTCATACGCATATGTGAATTCTTTAATAATAATTATTTCAGTGCCCATTCAAATTCGATTTGTGCCTTAAATTCCAAAAAATTTCCCATAAATTAATTTATTGAGCAAACAAAAATGAAATTGTTGCATTTACACCCATTTTAAAAACGGGAATTCCCACAAACACATTCATTGATACAACGATTTGTTTTGCTAGTAAGAAAATAACATTAAAAACAAACATCTTTGAATAAATTACTGCTAACCTGAATATCTACATTTGTAGAAATTATTTAAGTAATCATCAAAACAATCATCTAATCAAAAAATGCATTTAATTGATTGATAAAAAAATAAATTTCTCTCCTAAAGTTCTGAAATAATAATATGTTGTTTTTTTGACGAAATTATTCAAATAAATAAACATCAGTTTATATTATTCGTTTTTTTTCTCTTTCGTTTATCTTTTTTTCCCCTACGTAGGAAAATTATTAAATTGTATGATAACTTAGACAATTTTTAATAATGTTTCTGGCATTTCGAAATCACTTCGGGGTAGTTGTATTCCTGCTAGCTCGTTGAGCTATGTTAGGCCCCAATATTATTATTGGTAGCTAAGGATTTTGTTAACTGTAGTTTTATTTTTAGTTGTTTACAAAACACCTACACTGTGATATGAAACCTGTCTATCAAATAGTGGGTTATGAAGTTGGTTAATAAATGTAAAATTTCTCTCCTACGTTTTTCGATTAAAAGCGCCATTATTCTGATGTGATTATTGCTCATAAGTAGCTAATGATTTGCTTGCTTTAGTTTAATTTTATATCGTTTATATTGATCGATTTCAATTGATTATTCAAATTGAGAGAGAGAGTTCCTTTCTTTATTTGGGCTTCAACAAAACTAATCATATTCTTTTGAATTGTCAGAAAATAAATTCAAACGCTGTTTAAGTAAACAATTGGGGGCCCAACAAGTCTCATTTTCAACGAGGAGTGCTAGGCTTGTAAAACATTAAACTGGGAAATAAATTTTGAAATTATATTTATTTTGTTGTTGCATGATTTGAGCAGAGTGTTGAAATCGTTTATGTGACTGATAATTGGCAATTGGCCAATAAATCGCATTGCTGGCCCAGTGTGCAACAGAGTGGGTCTAAGTGGTGGCGTCTCGTTCTGCTGACAAGGCACGTCCGCCAATTCCCAAGTACCGCCAACTGCCTCAACATTCATGTTGAACTTTGTTAACCGCCGCCAATCTGCCATTAATTATTGCCATCAATGTCGAAGTCGCTGACGAGACGATGCCGCTGCTCAGCCATTTGTTGTAATTGCTGCTGCGGGCGAACAATATGCGTTCTATTTCCCACACCTGAACTGAACCATGGATTGAAACAAGGCAATGTTTTATATTTTTGCTTAAGTACAAGTAATTCTACATTTATTGCTAATGCCAGCCGCCGTCTGAAAAGTGCCGCCAGTCCTCCTTGATAATGTCCGCGCCGCGCTCCGCGACCATGAGAACGGGCGCATTAGTGTTGCCCGTGGGTATGGTGGGCATGATGCTGGCATCGATGACGCGCAGGTTGCGAATGCCACGGACACGCAGACGCGGATCGACAACGCCAGAGGGGTCGCTGTTGGGCGCCATTTTGCAAGTGCCTACCGGATGGTAGATGGTCTGGGAGTAGAAACGTGCCAGACACTCCCAGAAGGCGTCACTCAAGTACTCCACCTCGGGGCAGTTGCGCCACTCATAGATGTTCAGTGTGGCATTCAGGCGCTGCATGACGGGCGTCAGGGTGAGGCGATGGGCAAACTTAAGGCCCTCCACCATAACGGCCATGTCCAGTGGATGGTCGTAGTAGTTGGCATGTATGAGTGGATGAGTGCGCGGATCGCTCGAGATGAGCTGCAGATAGCCACGAGAACGCGGCCGCATCAGCAGCGGCGCAACCACAAAAGAGTCCCTATAGAGCATTGGCTCGAAGGAGTCGGCATAGTTTTCCAATGTAATAGCGGCACCTCGACGGCCCACCATGCCGCCGTCAGCGCCATAGCCATAGCTGCCCAGGAAGATCTGGACGTCGGGCCAGTCGAGTGCTGGATCTTGATACTTGGTGCTCACAAAGCCCATCACCTCGCTGACGGGGCTCGCATAAAAGAAACTATCAGTGCCCCTCACAAACGCCTCCACGGACTCGATATTGAGCAGCTCCGGCACAATGAAGGACAAGTGCTTGCCAGGGGTGCCGCTGTCGAAAGTGTAGTGGGCGCCAGATGTGGATATGTGATCCTGCAGGTTGCCACCTACTCCCGGCAGATGCTGCAGCACCTCAATCCCCAGCGGCTGCAGTTGCTCGCGCGGCCCCACGCCGCTCAACATCAGCAACTGTGGACTGGCGAGCGCGCCCGCCGCCAGCACAACCTCCCGCGTCGCTCGCACTTTATACTTAACCAGGCCGTATTCGAAGGCGACACCCACAGCGCGCCGACTGCGTGCATCGATGAGCACGCGCTCCACAAAGGCCTTCAGAACAATGTCCAGATTCGGACGCTGCCAGCTGCGTCGGATGTAGCCCTTGTTGGCACTGCACCGCAGTCCCTCGCGCAACGTCCCATGCGGTGGCGCAAATCCCGTCTGGGTGCGTCCATTAAAATCGCCATCTGGATGCACAACATCCAATGCTCTGGCCGCCTCCATGTAGATGTCGCGCAACGGCGAAGCGAAGCGGTAGTTCTCAACGCTAATGGGGCCACCGTGGCCATGGTAGGGGCTGCGCTCGTAGCCAGGAACTCGCATATCCTCCAATTTGCGAAAATAATGCAGCACGTTGTCGTAATGCCAACCGGGATTGCCCAGCGCCGCCCAATGGTCGTAGTCGCGTCGATTGCCGCGTATATACATCATGGCATTGATGGAGCTGCAGCCGCCGAGCACTTTGCCGCGCGGCCAAAAGCACCGCTGATCCTCCATGGCCAGGCAGTAACGATTTGAAGGTTCAACCGAGTACTTCCAATCCCAGGGACTGCGTTGAAATACTGGATACATTTGCGGCAAATCCATGAGTACTGGCTCATCGCCGCCAGCCTCCAAAAGCAGCACGCTCCACTGGGGATTCTCGGAGAGGCGGGCTGCCAGCACACAGCCAGCGCTGCCACCGCCCACAACCACGAAGTCATAGCTGTCCCGCAACTGCTCAATGTGTATGGTCCGTACTCGATGTGCCTCGTCCACAATATCCGGCCGCCTCTCCATAATCCCAATGTTCAGCTGCAACAGCATATAGGCCGACGGAGCGATGGTAAACAAAAATCGCCACATGGTGACGAGCGTATCGATGGCTGTCATCGCGCCTTAATTGCCGCTCCACTCAACAGTCCAAACACTGACTGAGCGCACTCGGTGCTGCTTCCAGTGGCCAATGGTCAGCATTCGCCAAAACTGCAGTCCAAGAATTGCTGAGTCGGCACTTTTTTGCCCAACACCCCCCGCCGCCCGGCCAAAAGTGAGGCAATAGTGTTAACCTAACCGAGCCAGACAATTACAGTGCAATGACTTCCCTCACCACGCACAGTGGGTCATTGCAATGACAAAGTGAAGTACTATAAATTAAAAAACCCACAAAAAGCAGTGCATGTACATATGTATAATATTATTATTCAAACTATTTTCATATGGGATCAGCAGCACATAATAACTTGATTATATAATTTTTTTGTCCATTTTATAGAAAAAATGTATAAATATCATTTAATGGTTCAAATTTGAAAAGGAAAGCTGCTTAAAATGTGACGACAGTTTTTAATAGGTTTTTCAAGAGCTAAATAAAAGTAAATTCTTTCTATTATTCAAGAAATATAGTATAAAACATGACGATCGAATTTTCAAAACCCCACCAAAAAATTGCATAAAAAAATTATAAATAAATCTCTTTTTTTTTAATACATTGGAAAATTTAAACGGATAAATGGAAAAGAATGCATTTTATGACAAAAAAAACCTAAAATTGTTTAGATGTGATCGTATATTTTAAAAGAAAACTTTAACTTGTTAGCTCTAATACAATTTATTATAAATATTAAGAAATTATGTTATTTTTATGAAGTTGGAACGAAGTTTTATGTTCTTGAAACAGTTTTAGCAAATCTGTAAATATTAAAAGCTGCCGATACGATCAAAGTTGTGGGCTTTTTAGGTTCTACTCGTCTTATTTAAAATTTTTCTGATTTTAATATTATTCTCAACCAAATGGGGTTCGACCCAGTGTGCAACGCTTTTTTTCCATATCAACGCAATGAAGCAATGAAAACATAAGTGACGAGCTTTAATTCTGGCACGCTTATGTAAATACCCTCGCTATTAAAAATACCACATGTCTTTTTTTTTTTTTTAAATTTTTATATAAGAAAACAAATCAACAACAATTTAATTGTAAATAAACGCTTCTCTGGTACGACGTTTCATGGCTTTATTATTTCAGTTACTTGTGCACTTTTTCCATGCGTCGTGAAAATGTCTGCTCATTAAATTATAAAGTATATTACAAACTGTTCTCTTGTGCTCACAATTTTGAAAATGAGCAAAAATAGGCTTAGTACTAAACAGAGCTACTTAATTAGTACAGGTAGAGAACCACACCTATAGTTCCCACATAAATAAAACTAGTTCAATACCAAAGTGATAATGCCCTGATATTTATGGGTATGTACAAGAATGGTGGCACGGTTAGTCGGGTCCAGTGCTTACGTAATAGGTTTCATGTTAACACGATCGGCTATAATCATGCGCGCGCCATTCTCGGCAATCATTAGCGTGGGGGCATTTGTGTTTCCCGCCGTGATTTCGGGCATGACGCTGGCGTCCACCACGCGCAGTCCATTGATGCCACGGACACGCAGACGGGCATCGACCACGCCTGCTGCCTCGCCAGGGGCGCCCATGCGACAGGTGCCCACCGGATGCCAGGCGCTAACAAAGAAATGGCGTATATAGCACAGCCAGTAGTCATCAGAATCGACGGTGAGCGGATCGCAGGCGGGCAGAGGTGGTCGCCACAGCTGGAGACCGCAGCGGCGAAACGGGCGCGTTCTAGTCATGCGCTGCATGTAGCGCACAAAGCGCAAGAGGACTGCCTGATCCTCGGCATGGGCGCCAAAGTTGTTGAGAATAAGCGGTGGAGCGGCGGGATCGGCTGTGCGCAGCCGCACTTGGCCGCGAGAGCGCGGCAGGAGCAGCGAGCCCATTACTTGCAACATATCCGAAGACTGCAGCGCTGCCTGCAAGGCTGCCACCACTTCCTGTCGAAAGCCGAGATACCCAAAGGAGCCAGCGGAGCCACGTGGCAGCAGCGTGTGGGCCACCAGATGCAGATCTGGCCGTGTGCCCGACTTGCCCGTATCCTGTGGCTGGCTCGAGTTAAGGAAGCCCATCAGAGAAAAGCCATCGGACAGTGGTCCGCTCTGCTGCTGCAGCAGATACTCGGCCACGGAAGCAGGATCGTAGGCGCTCCGAACATGGAAGGCGGAGCTGTTGACCGCACAGCGTCCACCAAACTGGAGCAGCAGTGGCAGCATGCCATGATCATGCAGATTCTCACCCACAGGCAGTTCCATCTGCACCGGCACGCCCACGTGCTGTAGATGCTGACGCGGTCCAATGCCCGATTGCAGTAGCAACTTGGGTGAGTTGATGGCGCCGGTGCTGACCACCACTTCCAGGCGCGCATGGGCGCGTAGCGTGGCATTGCCGCGTTGAGGCAGGCGGTAACGAACGCCACGGGCTCGCAAACCAGTCGTCGGATTGGCGAGGAGCACCTGCTCAGCAATGGCGCCGCGCATCACGTGCAGATTGGCGCGCTCCCGTACACCGACTCCTGCCAGATACTTGCGTCCGCTGCTGGCACGACGTCCCTGCTCAACGGTCACCGGGACGGCATGCGTGTAGCCAAAGCTGGTGCCGCTGGTTAAGGGCTGGCGCACACGCGGCACGCCCAGCTCGGCCGTAGCCGCGTACATCAGTTCCGTAAGCTGTTGCTCCAGCGGCTGCGGACGAAAGTAGCTCAAGCGGAGCTTATCCGTCAGCAAGCGCCGGTAAAGCAAGTGTACCTCTGGCCAGCCCCAGCCTACAAGGCCCAGCTGCTGGCGCCAATGTTGAAAGTCCGCGGCACTACCAGGCAAGAAGAAGTTGCCATTGATGGCGCCTGTACCGCCCAGCATGCGACCATGCGGCCAAGAGCAGCCACGACCCTCCTCCATTGCCTGGCAGCACTGCGGATTCTGCTCGCCCTCATGCAACCACATAAAGCGGCTGTCATGGTGTAGCGTGGGACTCAAGTTGAACATCTCCGACTCGAGCGGCGGCACCTGGCCCGCCTCCAGCAGCAGCACCGTCACATTGGGCTGCTCACTGAGGCGGCTGGCGACTATGGAGCCCGCCGAACCGCCGCCCGCCACAATATAGTCGTAGGTCAGGTCCTGCAGCTGCTCGACACTATTGGCGGCGTCGGCGTGGTCAGCGGGCCAGGCACCGCTGTCGGTAAGCGCGCACTTGGCTGCTTGCAGCGCTGCCGCCACATTATCGATGAGCGAGTCCCCCACGCCAGCACTGGTCGCGCTGCAGAATTCTTCAGCTGCGACGTCGGCTGCGGGCAGCAACAGCCCTATCAACAGCCACAACAGAGGCAGCGCTGTAAGTAATAATGAAAAGAGGCAATAAAAAATGTTGAGTTTGGTTCGCAGCACGACTAATTTACCCAGTGATGGTTTGTGTCCACGCTTTGTCAACTTCTCACTGTACATCACGTTGCTATCGCTGCTCTGGAAATGAGCCAACTGCGAAACCACAATTGCGTTTTTGGCTGCTGCTCGCCGTTGAGGCCGTGTTCGGCCTCATTAATAAAAACATTGTCAAAATATCACCCGAAATTGTGATAAAAGTGAATTTATATTGCAGGCTATTCTGCCTCTTCATATTATTATTGGACGTTTTGGGCTTGTTATATATGTATGTATGTACGCTTAAATATTTGCCGTAGTTGGAATTGCAATAATCTCTGTGCCCTCTCGCCGCTGTGCAAGTGAATGAACTCGTGCCGCTCTCCCAGTCCGCCCGCACGCACAAGGCCGCCCCAATGGGTGTCGAGAGCTTTCTATCATGTTGTCGGAGCAGCTGTGAGCTTTTAGCAGCGACACAATCTGTTAACGTGCAGTGGCAGCACTGTTAACAATATCACTGCTGTTAACATTTAACAGCTGTTTGGACAAATACCGAAATACAATTTTAAAAACGAGTAGAACGCTAAGATCGCGTAAAGCCGACTCTTGTACACCCTCTCTCCGCTACAGTTCTTCACTACTGAGCATTAAGGGAAACTATTTAGATGTCTTAATAAACAAAAATGTGTTTGGTACAAAAAGTGATCGTTCATATGGCAGATATATGATATAGGCAACCAATTATGATTATGGGGAGGTACCATTAAATTATAAATAAATAACTTAGTATAGAAAAAAATCTACTTTTCGCTGATCGCTTCTTAAGCTACATAGCTACATAGAATAATTAAAAGATAAAGATAGCAAATGGTTTGTAATAAGCTTTCTCTGCGTATGTATGTATGTATATATAACTAGCTGTTATGGACGAAAAGTTATCGGTGAACGGACGGACAACCATGCCTCTATGTGCTCTCATAGACCTCCTTCTGCCTGTTACATACATTTGGCGCCAAGAATTTCAATTAAGCCAGCCAGTCAACCCTATATGTGTAGGGTATACAAATGAAAGACTAAAATTATATTTTGCATTGTTTATAAATTAGAGTAATAAATAAATTTCCGTAAAAGTATGTCAAAAAAAAGTTGTTAAAGTACTTAACATTAAAAACATTTACATAGCTCTGGGCAGTCTAAAGACAAACAAACAAACAAACAAACAAGCAGGCAGATATTCACTCAATTATTCAGTCACAATCGCATACAAACTCTAATATGACACGCACACAAAATACAGAAGATACATATGTATATGTATATTCCCCTCAGATGGGGGCTTAAGATCAGACAAGTGTATTTTTAATCCAAAACTCCTTTATCATGTCGCTACCCTTCTCCGCGATCATGATGACCGGCGCGTTCGTATTGGCCGAGACTAGCTTCGGCATGATGCTGGCATCGATGACGCGTAAACCGCGAATGCCATAGACCCGCAGCTTAGCATCCACGACCGCATCCTTGTCCCAGTATGGTCCCATTTTGCAGGTGCCAACTGGGTGATAAATTGTGGATGTGTAGTGTCTTACCATGCACTCCCAGTAGGCGTCAGTGAAGAGGGGCACCTTCTCGCATCCTGGCCAGCGAATGGTAGATAGGCGTGAGCCGAAACGCTGCATGGCCTTGGTGCGTGAGAGGGCCACTGCGATTTTCACACCCTCAATTAGGGTCTTCATGTCGAATTCGTCGGCCAGATAGTTGGGGAAGATGTACGGGTAGTCGAAAGGGTTGCCGCTACGCAGCTTAATACTGCCTACACTGCGGGGTCGGAGCAGCATAGGAATGATGCTCCACGCATCACGGTTGTTTATCTTTTCGAAGACAGAGCGATAGAAGGAATCGGTTAGGCCATGTGCCTTGCGCAGTTGCGAACCACCATCCGAGTTCGTAGAACCAGACACGAAGTGGAACTCGATGTCCGGCCAGTCCATAGAGCTATTGGCGTATTTGGTGTTCACGTATGCCAAGCCTTCGACGCCGCCAAGAATTGTGAGTGGACCCTGGCCAAAAACCGCATATTGAAGTACCGTGGACATGGTGTGGAAACGGTTTTCGACAATGGACACCGGTTGGTTGACCAGAAACGTTAAGCCACCCAGTCCAATGTGGTCTTGAAGGTTCTCGCCCACACTTAGCTCTTTGATTACCGGTATACGGTGCTTGGCAAGCTCCTTACGTGGTCCCACGCCGCTCAGCATCAACAGCTGAGGACTGTTGACGGAGCCACCCGACAAAATCACCTCCTTAGTGGCCCGAACATGATACATTTTCTGCTCCTTGACAAACTCCACGCCAAAGGCTAGTTTGGTCACCGGATCTATCATAATACGCGTCACGTGCGAGTTCATAGAGATGTGTAGATTGGGTCGCAGACGTGCCGGTCGCAGGAATGCCTTTGATGTGGAGCAGCGTGAACCACGCCGTGTGGTGCCCTGAGCGATCATGAAGCCCGTCATTTTTTCGCCGTTTAAATCACGGTTGTCGTAGCCCATCTCGACACCGGCCTCTACAAAGCTGGCCGCCAGCGGGGTATGGTAGGGTGCTTCGCCCACCGTCAGATATCCCCCGGTAGCATGGTATGGAGTGCTAGCCAGATATGGATTCGTGTTATCCTCCGACTTCTTAAAGTAGTAGAGTGCATCGCGATATGACCAGGACGGGTTGCCCATGGCTTCCCAATTGTCGTAGTCGATTTTTGATCCCCGCAGGTAAAGCATGTAGTTCAGGACAGAGCTGCCGCCGAGCACTTTGCCACGTGGCCAATTGCAGCGCCCGCTCTGCATGGCTACGGTGGAAGCGATAGTTAGATTATAATATCATAATTAAATGATTTATCCTTACCTAAACAGGCTGTGCCCGAAGGTTCCGTCTTGTATTGCCAGTCAATCTTGGATAGCTGTAAATAGCCCGCCATGAGGGGCACATCCGTCAGTTCTGTCTCATCACCGCCCGCCTCCAGTAGCAATACGTTCCAATTTTCCACTTCTGTTAGTCGATTGGCCACTACGGCTCCCGCCGACCCGGCTCCTATCACAATAAAATCGTAGTGATCCAGTAATTCGTCACTGCTCAGATCGCTTAATTTGGACTCGGGATCCATGATCTCCTCATATTGAAAATAGGCCACGGCGGCCATTAGCATGGGTATGAACCAGCTGTTGCTAGTCGCGGCCGTTACCGCACCCCCAATAGCCGAAGCGGCGCCCACAATGGCCGAGCTCATGGTGTCTGGATGGGGGTCTCCCTGTTTCCGTTTGTTTCTGTGTCTGTATCGATGTCGGCGTCGTGCGGCAATGCGATCAAGTGGGTCGTAACGCTTCCAGTTATAACAATATCTGTCGCCGGTTGCACGCAGATCGTTGATCGAAACGTAAAACGTGTCTGCAATTGAAAATATTGGCGGCGTTCGGTTAGTGGAGTGACATGAAAAGTCGTGTACGCCATTTCGAATTTTAACCGAATCAGATGTACCATATAAAGTTTGAACATATTTATTTCGTTTATACGAAAGTTTGGGATTCATGAATTATTCTAAACCAAATTGTGTAGGGCGATACTGATTAAGATCAGAGATCATCAATGGACAGGCACATTTTAGTAAATATTTGAGATTGTTTGAAAGGTTATTAAAATTGATATATTAATATTTCAACAGAATATTTCTACATAAATTAAAATGTAACAAAGTTGCTGAAGAAGTAAAAATAAAATAACCCTACTTCACTTTGAGGAGAAAACCAAAATTAATTACCTTCTTGGCAGAGTTTTAAGCTCTAGAGATGGGAATTAAATAAATTGATCTTGATTGGGAAATTGAAACCGGAAAAACAGGACCACATAATCAATACTCTATGAATTAGTGGGAAATAGAAGGTAACAATTCGAATTAGGATGACGCACGATTTTGCTTTATTGAAGTAAGTTTTAGGTTAAAAATAACAACGAAAAAAAACTCATTTGGAAATAATATTTCTTGGGCAGACTCTAAAGCTTTATCGATATGGAACAAGTAAAAATTAAGAAAAATTAATTTTGAAATATCGAATTTTTGAAAATGTGCTTTTATTATAGTATAATATAGAATAGGCAAACGATTAAGGAATGAAAAAAAGAAAGAAGTAAGTAATATGTAGCAAAGGCCTTAAGGAGCGCAACAACAAATTTGTTTAATGCAATATATAAAAACATATTAATAGCGTCATAGCGAGTGTCTAAAATTGTCGGATCGCTGGAGATAATAATCGGGCTCATGAATTTGGAGCTCAGTATAAACGTTCACGCACACTCACACACTTTTCACACTTAAAATTTCAATCACGAATTCTGTCAATTTCGTAACTTGGTCGCTTGTCGCCAGCGCGGCTTCCTCTTCTTTTCTCTCTTTTATTTTATTTTATTTTCTTTTATTTTGTGTTTTTGGCGTTTTTGTGAAATTTATTTCTTTTGTTGCTACTGCGCACTGCACGTGGTCAACACTAGAGTTTTGGTGGGGCTCTCCCCAGCGGAGGGGGTTTGGTGGCTAGGTAAGGGTCAGTATCGAATCGCCCACATACATACATATGTATGTATATATGTATGTATGTGTTTATGCACATTACTCGATTGGCCGCTGCTGAAAAGTGAAATCTTCTCTTGATTATCAAACTGAGGCCGCCTGACTCTTTGACTTGTTGTTTACAACCCTCCCCGTTACCCACCGCCTCGCCACCACCACCCAAACAACAATGGTGGCGCATTTCTCCAGCTGCCACTTAACTGCTATGCTCTGCGGGCTGCATGCAACAATTGCAAACGCTTGTTGAAAACTGGCTAACCAGTTTCCCAGCCTTTGCCAATGCCCGCTGGATGGAACCGACTGGCACGACGCCCTGAGTGTGGATTGTTGGCTGATGATTGTTTAGCCTAGCCTAGCCTAGCCTAGCCTAGCCTAGCCTAGCCTAGCCTAGCACAGGCCAGCCAAACCAAGTCGAGTTGGAGTGAGCGGCTCTTTTAGTCAGTTGCGAGTCGAGTTTGTCAAAACATTTCCTGCCTTTGCCTTTTTGCATAATCTCCGCTGGAAGCTGCAAACTGCAATTGCAACAAACTTGCTATTGTTGTTGTTATTATTTTTGTTGTTGCGTTCAGAGTTACTGCTATTTGAAACTGGTTGCCACGGCCGCACCACCACCGCAGCACCACACCACCACACTACCTCATTATTGAGTCTTCAGTTTTGGGTTGAATGTGCGCTCGCGCTTCAAGTTCAAGGTGCAGTCTTAGTTAGTCAGTTGCGTGTTCTTCTAGCGTGATTAGCCACTTCTATCATTAAATAAAATCTACCCAGCACACCCCCCCGTGTACACGAACCCAAAACTTAACATCCCACAGATCCAAAGTGTTGGTTTTAACAAGCGGCTTGGTTTGTTAACAAATACGTTCGAATGTTAAACACTTCAATAAACATGACTCTGAGCAACAACAACAACAACAACAGCGTCTACAAAAAGCGCTAAAGAGAAATGCATAACAGCCGCAACAACAACAACAACAACAGCTACAATGTATTATGAATCACTTTCGTTGACTGAGCACCGGCCGAGCACCGTTAACTGTAAACGTAGAAAGCTTCTGCGACAGCGTAGGCGTTTGGGCAAAAAGGCCGCTGCTAGCGTCTGCGTCGACGTCGACGTCGACGTCGACGGCGCTGTCGCGCATGCGTGTCGTTAAGAATTTTTGTGCGTTCTGCTTACATTTCTGCCGTTGCTGTTGTTGTTATTGGCTTTGATTTCTTTTTACTGTGTACTCGACACTACCGTTGGCACACTTTTTCTGAATTGTTGTCGTTTAATTCAGCTTATTAGTTTTTGTTGTTTATTTTTTATTTTATTTCATTACTCACTTCGCTCTTAGAACACAATTAACAGCTAAGATTTAAGCTGTCTTCCCAGGCTACACGTTTTATTTGTACATTCGCTTCAGAGCCTTTCCAACTGCTGCTTACTGCAACTCTTTTTCTTGTTGTTGTGCGCTTCGTTTTGCTTCTTTTATTTCTTTTACAACTTTCTTTCTGTGCTGTGCAGCCGCACGCTGCGACGTTCGTTAACAAACTGAGTAGCCAGCAGCCAGAGACCAGTAAGAAATGGTTGCCGCTTGGCAGAAAGACAGGCGAGAGTAACGACGGGAGCAGAAGGAGCGGAAGCGCTGTGGATAACCATAGATAGTTCAGGTTACTCCATGTGTGCGGCCCCACGCTCATTACCAAATAACAGATGCGAGAGAATTTGGTTCCCTGGAAAAACTATGTACACATATAACGGTGCTTTTAAGCACTATTCACAAATTAGTTGGATATTTAATTTTAAATGTTTTTCCAATTTAATTCAGAACCAAATAATTCATCAAAGCTTCACTCTCAAATCTCAAACCATTTGAAGGTGGACAATTATATGCAAGAATTTCTCTATTTGTGGACATAATTATTTCACAATATTTCTTTCGTTATTATTTCGCCTTAGGAAACACAATCTTAAGAATTTGAAATATTTTATGATCTGAATTCGAATTAATTGTGCTCTTAAAAAATGTACCTAACTACAACTTATGCTATATGAGAGGAAATCACAAAAGAAGAAATGTACAAAATAAATCAAAATAGTGATTAACTACTTTTTTATTCCTACATAATGAAACCTTTTTTTTTATAATTTGTGACATGAGCTTGTGACGTATGCAGAGAGCGAATTGAAAATGTGTAACCATGTTCGAACTCTACCTAAAACGTAATGCGAAGGCTTTTTTACTCGTTCTTTAGTTTCTTACGCTCTCACTGCGTAAATGTCAGCTGACAGCACACAACCCACCGCCCCCTCCGGCCCCTGGCTCGACCTGCAACTTAGGGCTCAGCTGTGCCTGAGTAAAAGCCCAGTCTGCCCTTTGACTTGGTTGTGATTGCAATTGGCTGCAAGCTACCATTGCTGGAGGCATTGGTTTCCTGTTTGCCAGCTGCGCTTCTCATGCCAACACTCTTTAAGTTTTATGATTTGTGTTGCGCCTTTGACGTGTTTGCCGGCACGTACACAAACGACACACAAATACAAAAGCACTTACATCCATATGCATGAACATATTCATATGCGGGGGCTGGCTGATAAGTAATCGGTGTAAGAGTGGAAATCAATTGATTTCCCAACTTATTTCCTTTTCGGACGCAGCCTCTCTTCATTTGAGTGCAATTTCTTTCAAGCAAGCCATAGGAGACACAAATTCAGGAGAATAATGCGGATGGAGAAGCAATTTAAAAAGCGATCTTAAAATTTTTTAAATACGGCTCTTTTTCTTAAAATTCACTTCCAAAAATTGTTGTGAAAAACTGTCGCTGTTGCTTTGTATCTGATAGACCCTTCTGTGGTTTTGACTCTCGATAAAGTGGTATGATAAGGGATCCAAGTTAAACATTCCTTCAAAGCTGCGCAACATCTATCTAGAAGTCAGCTTTATAATATCCAAACCCATTTCTAAAATATTTTCCACTCATTTATGGATGTCAAATTCAAAATGTAATCAACAATACATATTTATTAGTCCAATATTTAAGACAGTCCCCATAAGTTAGTTTTTGATCTTGTCATTGGATTTAGTTAAAGTTTTAAAACACAAATCCTATGATGGTACGATTCTTTAATTTATTAATATTATGTTACTATTTTGTCTGGTCACACTGGTGCATTATATCAGCAATTAGCTGGTGGATAGTGCTTAACATAATGAGGCCGATTTAGTATCAACCAGCCCTCGTATTTACAGTTGAGGCGGCAGCGAAATGCTTTCACTCTTACCGTTTGAAACGAACTTTGTGCCAAAAGTGCGTGGCGTGTGGTCTTCTTTAGGCCGCCAAAGCGCACATGACGTCGCTCGTACGCACCACACTCACTCACTCTCTCTCTCTCTCTCTCTCTCTCTCCCTATCTCTCTATTGCAGGTGGTTGCTGCGGCTCCACAAAGAAGCGAACCATTGTCGGTGGCTGGGCATGGGCCTGGTGGCTGGTCACAGATGTCCAGAGACTGTCCTTGAACGTGATGACCCTTAACCCCATGTGCGAGAATGTGGAGACGGCCCAAGGTGTACCGCTAACGGTAACTGGCGTTGCTCAGTGCAAGATCATGAAGGTATGTGGATACTATAGATACTATATAGTACACATATAAACTATTATGCCCGTTTGCCGCCCCTGTAAATTCATTTGACATATTATTTAGCAACTTTTGTGCACCTTCCTCAGTAACATTTGAAATTAAAGGCTTGTTTTATTCCGCGCTAATCTTTTAAACCACCAGCCAGATTTTCATTTCGCCCTATCCTTACATACGTATATAGAAGTAATTTAACTTCCAGTTCCATAGAACAACGTTTTTCCGTTCAAGTCCCATTATGCACAGTTTTGAATCCTCCCCCTAACAAGTACATTATTCAATTAATCATATGCATAAATATATAATAACCTCTACCTTTTATAGCCTTCAAAATTTTAGCATGCAAATACATACTTAGCGTAAAATGTTGGTAGTCGATAGAAAATTGATTAAAATTTGCTTTCAACTGTATACATATATAAGTATTATCTTTTTTCTATTCTTACGATTGTGACCTTTTAATTTATTTGTAAAATTTCCAATTCATTTAATTACTTTTTTAAAAAACAAACATGATTATAAAATTATTTAGCCTTGCAAGCGCCTTAGGTCTACCAAATCAAAAGTAAGTTAAGTTCTTTTTTGCCAAAAAAAAAGAAAAAAAAAAAACAAAATGCCACTCAATGTAATGTGCCCGGCCTGCTTTTATGATTTGATATTAGACACTGAGCACTATACCCTTTACATATATATATAATTGGTCGCATACTAGTATATAGTATACCCGGAGAACCTGTCTGAACGCTTTCGCACAGCACGCACCTGAATGTGATTTGTATGCAAAAATATCACCCCTTTTTCTGTTATGCAAAGCATTCGTTAGAGAAACTCTCTTTGAGTTACTAAGAGATGCTACTACCATTCTTTCGTACTCTTAAACGTTTATATTCGATTCTTATTTTTTGCACTCGTACGATAAACAAAGCAATTCAAACAGCTGGTGAACATTTCATAAAAGAAAATCTTTTAGATGAACCGAATCACTCCCCAATTGTGGAGTTGAAACAGCCACAAAAAAATTAAATAATTTATGGATGAGAGACGATGATATTAATACTATTTAGACGGGAAAATATACGATATATAATAAACTATTGTGTGTACTTATATGTCCCAGAAACTTCTATTTAAAGCGAAGGGGGGTTTTGATAGGAGTTTTGGTTTTATTTTTTATTTGTCACTAGCTGTTATTTTTTTTAATTTTACAATGTCCAAAATTATTCAACTAACAAGTTTGGCTAAATGTTGTATGGAGAATGGAATTTGCTGTCGAATCGAAGCAGGAACTGAAGGCCATTCCAGAAAAGACTTTTTGAAAAAAGCTCTGCTGAAAAACTATCAGCAGATAACTGATAATCAGCCATCTTAGGTGCTTTTTTTTCGGACATATTCTGAAATAGTACATATGAATGGACTTATTAGGAATTGACAGAGCACTCTTTTTTTTTTTAGAGGGAAATCGCGCGTTACCAAATGGCCTAATGAATCAGTCCATGAATCAGTGTGACTAATACTTTACGAATTTTAACATAAACCATATCTGCACACTCTTCTTAATACATCGGCTGGACTCACCGAACTATATTCCGTGCAACCATTCCATTTAAATCTACAAGTATCACAATAATGTCAATAATAAAACACAAACATTAGATAGTAAGACCAGTGATCCTCCATTCCATTTCTATTTTTTGACAAATCAATGACATGTTTTTGGAGTAAACATTTGCTTTTAATACAATGTGCAAGGGCACCTTTCCAAAAAAAAAAAAATTGCGAGAAATTTGGAACGAAAGAAAATGGGACTTCCATCAATTTAAATGCACTGGCTTTTTGAACGGCTCGTGTGTAATAACTATTATGTCTGTTTCGAATTATGTTCTTACTTAATTTTTTACAATTCATTTTTGCAGTCATCTTCGTACAAAAATAAAGATTATAATAACGACGAGGTATGTTTATTGCGTTTATATAATTTCTTTCCTTATTCTACAGTCGAATATGTTTTGCTATTTTGTGTTTGTGGTTCGTTTTTCAAAATAATTGGTTGACAACTCTTGCTTTATGTAGTCCTTAAGTAAATCATAGAAATGCCTATTTGCTTATCATTTATTTGTAAACTGTTCACCCACACATACACACACCTACACACACTCACACACATAAATACTCATACACCCCAATTCGATTTGTTGATGGCATCCGAACAAAACCAATCATACGAATACGCGTTTTACACTCATGATTTTAAGTTATTGTGGTTATCGATGAAAACATTAATTTTCTCACATATTTAAGTTCGTATGTAAGTAGTACATACATACATACTTGTATTTATTTTATCGGTTGACGTTTACTGTACATTTCGTTGCATGCGCCAACTTGTTTGTTCTTGTTCTGCTCAGTTAAACATTTTCGTTTCGAATCATGTCGTAATCTGTTTTGTCAGCACTGCTGTAATTAAGTTTTGGCACAAAAGTATATACATAGTTCACATAAAACGTCAAGCGAAAGCTCTGTTCGCTCAGCTTAACTGCAGCGTTCACTTCAGCTTCGCAAAATAGTCAGTTATCGATGAATGTATCGATCAAAGTAGATCGTACGAAGAAAGCATTGTTTACATCGAAATTTGTTGACATTTGTGTTCTACTCTTTTCTACTTTCTTTTCACCACCAACAACCACTTACCCTGCGCTCGCTCGACCGACTCAACTCAACTCAACTCATCAAACTAATCCGAACAAATTGTAAAAAACGAATCGACAAAATTTAACAAATCGCCAAACATCATTTAATTGAATTCGATTGCGCCTAAACAAATACAACTCTTTGTGTTCATACATATCTGTGTGTGTGTGTGTTTATGTGTGTGTGTGTGCGGATGTTTGTCTCTGTGTGTGTATGTGTGTGTGGCTAACTAATTCAACAACAATTACAATATCAATAATAATAATAATATCGCTATAACGGTAAAAATAATATCAATTACCAACTAACTACTCATGTGTTTGGCTATGGCTTTTGGTTTGAATCTGCTGCGCTATTCGTTCTGTGCCGTTCTGATAACTGCAACTGCTGCCTACAACTACCAAATATAACTACCGAATACAAATAACAACTAACATGATCCATCCACCCGATCACATGCACGCACACACCTCCATACACACTCTCTCCCACACACACACACACACATACACCCACACACACACACGCACACACAGATGATGAATGTTTATTATTTTCACCATCAGGCCGACGAGCTTCTGGGAACGGCCAGTGAGCAGTTTCTGGGCAAGAGCGTCAACGAGATCAAGCAGACCATTCTCCAAACACTGGAAGGTCATCTGCGCGCCATATTGGGTAAGTAATACAAAATACTTGGCTCCGCCGGCACTGTCCGAACTATCTAATTTGTTTTCTCACAAAACCCATCATTGTTGAATCAAAATTGCTTACTCTCTAACAAAAGAAATATTAATTGTAATTCTTATAAACCATCAAGTGTTACATCATCAGATTATTTTATAAAGTCAACAGGCGTATGTATGAAGAGTGCAGCAGAATACTTGAATCTTGATTGTTGATATAGATTAGATAGCGTCATCTTCAAACTTGTTGTCAATAAATTTTAATCATTGATCATTTAAAAAATATCATCCCGAAATACTTACATCAACCATTTGTGTTTTCAAAAGTCGGATAATCATCTGAAACTCTTTCAGCTTCTGACAAGCTCGTCAATAATATTCCCAACACTTTTGCCTTTATACTATTATTTGAGCTGAAAACTCCAATAAGTGAAAATATTTTCAATGGAAGACTATCCGTAAGCAGCAGGAAATAAAAAATGATTTTAAAAAACATGTGCCTGGTTTTAAGTTACCTTAAGTTACCTATTTGTAGAATTGTATTGAAAGTGTTTTAAAGTGAAAAATTTGGCCCGCAAGTGGGGAAATATTGTGTCATGAAAACAGGTCGACTGCTTAATCAAAGCGTATTCTGATTATACAGAAGAAATAGGTATTCAGGAAATGTCTGGATATATTGTACTATTCACATACACGTATTATGTGATCATATTACATTATAATCAATTCGAAGCGCCTTAAATTACTTTAAATGGAATCTTACGCATTTGATATACAATTATGTATATTGATTTCGATAGACAATTTAGAAGAGGTTTGGGATAACAGGACAGTTACAACTAGGTCCAGCTTATCATTCGTGTGCATTAAAGGGGTGCACTTGAATAAGAAATTCATTCGAATTGAAATTCACTTTTGATTGGAGGCATCTAGACATCTTTTAAATTCAAAAACACTCATTCATTTAATCCTTCAGCTATTCGAATACTTAATTTCTTTGCACTCTTTTTGAATAATTATGCTCTTTAATTAAAGGAGTGCATCCATCGAGTGAGCAGAGTCCACAGTTATTGCTTTTAAAATATATTTACTATATATTGAAATGACTTTTTTTTGATATTTTTTATTGATTTTGATGCTGCTACTTTATTTTATGTTGTGGTCGTATTTCATTCATTTTTAAAAATATTATTTTACGTTGGGCTATTTGCTGTAACCATCATAATTCTTTGTGTAACATTCGAGAACAAGAAAATTTTGAAAAACAATTCATTTGAACCGATAGAACGTCCTGATAGCACTATCAGGACGGAAAGACTGGATGAATCGTGACCCATCAGTTGCGCGTGAAACATACATTTGGTTGATCGAACATGTGAATAGTATAGTCGAGATCGTCCAGTTCGCGCTCGATGGCTATCTTTCGGTTGCGGACGCGCAAAGTGGCCGCCGATACTGGCAGACGATTGTATTCTTGAATCAGGTCGTTGTACTTGATGTGGGCCTCGTTCAGGGCCGATTCGCGTTCCTTTGCATTAAGCATTGTGTAGCCATTTGTGTCTGTCTGCACCTCTGTTGGGACTTGATGCTTCTCCTTGGGCACGGATGTTCCTGAAGCATGGTCTTTGGTTGGCATGGTTTTCTTGCTCATGCCAGACTTGATGGTGGCCTGGGACTTAACTGTTGCTCGTGAGGTGCGACTGATGCTCGATTTCAATGTTGCCGTTGACTTGAGAGTGTTAATAGAAGCCGAGCTGCGTGCACTGAGCGGTGCAGCTGCCTCTTGGCCTTCAGCTGGAGGAGCTGGGTCATTGCCGGCTTCGGCCCCGCCAGCGACTCTGCGCGACTCACGTGAGACTCTTGACGCTCGTGAAGCTTGCGAGCGCAAGGAACGTGTGTCGATGTTGTCTTTTGTTTTAGACTGGCACTTCTTGAGGGCCTTGTTGAGAAAATTGGTGTCCTTAATATCATCTGTTTGAGCCTCTGCTGCGTTTTCAGACCATCCCCCTGTCCGGCGGAACTCCTCGTCCTGCTGTTCTTGCTGCATCTGCCACTGGTGGCATTGACACGGTTGTTGCTTCATCTTTTGCAGCTTCCGGGTAGTCTGTGGGAGTCCATACGGGTAGGCTAGACCGCAGCGAGCCAAGCCCGTCTCGATGTCTGTCAGGGCCACGCGACCCTTTCGAGCCGCCGCTGCGCAGTGTGGACGCAACTTCTCCGGATAGTGTAGGACTACGGGTCGCCAGCGTGGAACGCGCAAGGCGTTCAAGGCGGCCGCAACACGAGTGTTCTTCTCATAGAAACGCACGTTCTGTTTGTTCTCTGTGAGGAAATCACGCTCGGCTCCGCGGTTCCAGGACATCTTGAGTGCCCCGTTTAATTGGGGAAGATAATAGGTATCGATCTAACAATAAACTTAAAGCTGGCGCCCCTTATGGTCGCCGCGAATGTGTGTACTTTTGGTTTCTTCGTTAGGCAAAGCTAAGATATTTTAGTTTTTATTTTGAAAAATGTTTTCCGGAATGAGTTAAGTATTTCTAACCGTGTTCTGTGCCGAGTAAGAAAACAATACTGAAACAACCCGGCTGATGAAAATACCGACTGTTCCTCGACATCTGACATTTAACAAACAGGCGACTGGGCGCGAAGACAAAGCCTACTTACTAGTACTATTATTATTTTCTAAAACCAATAACGTGCCATGTCAACTTTTATAACGATTAATGCAAGCCAGGGCTCTGGGACACTCTTTATTGCCAGATAATTTAATTAATAGACTCAGTAACAGATATGCTGAAGCTCTTACCCAGCAACCAGATCCTGCTGCTTGCCAAAGAATGGCAAGAAGGATTCAAGAAGCTTTACATACATTTGTAAAATAATGTTTCAGTTTGTAAAGAGATAAAGCTTGTGTTCAAATATATACATATATCATTGTAGCTACACATCTGATCCATTTTGACCCGAGCTGGTCAAAGAAGAAGCAACATTTTGAAGTACTTGTATTTTAATGCAGATCTCTATTATCGCCTTCGAAATGGGCTGCTTTGAACGGTTATTCAAATTTTCCACAGACTCGTGGGAACAGAAAGAAGTTACAGGGAGACAAATCGATGACTTTTGTTTCATGTTCTACATACTGTGCTCAAGCCATTTTGCATTTCGCTTACAGGGTATTACAATTCTTTAGAAGCTCAGCTCTTCTCTAGCATGGACTCTAAAAAGTTCGTTTCACTTTTCCGACTCCTTTAATAGCATCACATTATGCATTAGGATTAATGCGAGACGTGGAGAACATGCTCCATATGCTTCACTGTTCTCACTAGGGCATAGGGTATATGCATGGAGAAATATTTAGGCATTTAGTCGAGCTTGAAGCCGGCAACCTTGGGCGCCAATTAAAGTAACTGCCGTCTAATCAAACTAGACTTGAGCATCGTTGCGGGCACATTGAACCATGTTCGCGTTGAATCGCGCTACCTATTCATACTTACATACTATACTTATACATACGTACACTATATGTTGAGGTATATACATATGTATGTATATAGTTGATTTAGCTTTCGGATTTATGACACTAGTGAGCTTTCCGACGCGAACTGGGCATTAAAAATATCTCAAGGCGGTTCTCATTGATTCGCACATGTTAAACGAAAACAATTTCAGTTGCTTGCCAGCCCTGCGTTTAAGCGCCGTTCGTCCGTCCCAGTGTCTGTCTGTCGTCAGTTGAAAACCCGAAGTGCCGGACTGAGGTCGCACTTGTCTCGGCGGGTGCAGTCTAAGTCTAGAATTGTGGTGGCTTGTCAGTTGCCTCGCACATCAGTGCCTCAACTCGCGTGTGAACGGCCGTTCGTGTCGCATTGTGTTGTGGCCCGGAAGGGTGGGGTTACGACCTTGACTGGAGCTTGAAGACTGACACAATCGTGGCTGCTTGTAGTTACTGGCGAGCTACCAAATATTCGCAAGTCTCCATTATCTCCGTACCTATCGCCATTGTGACGTCAACCTTATCGGCGCGTTATCATTTCGCACTGCGGAGTCCGTGACGTCAAGCGTAATTGTGTTGAGTACTTTTGTCGAGCCCCAGTCGCCAGATAGTTAGGCACTTAAGGCGACGACTAAGACTAGACGACGGCAAAGGGGTTAGCAAGCCAACCAGCTGCTCAGTCAGTCAGTCAGTCAGCGCCATGTCTGTCGTGTGGATGGGCGCCTTTAAGGTGGCCATGATTGTGGGTGTTACCTGCCTGGTAGTTACGCGGTAAGCAACCGGTTGAACTTGACACGCGCCCCCCCCCCCCCCCCCCCCACCGAGTTGACCTTGTTTTTATTGATTTCTAATCGATTCGTCGCTCTCCGCTTCTGTCGTTTGCAGGAACGCTTACAGTCGAAGAGGTCTACAAAGACCGCGACCAGTTCGCGGCGCTGGTACGAGAGGTGGCCGCTCCTGACGTCGGCCGCATGGGCATCGAGATACTCTCGTTCACCATCAAGGATGTCTACGACGATGTCCAGTACTTGGCCTCGCTCGGCAAGGCACAGACTGCGGTTGTGAAGCGCGATGCCGATGCCGGAGTGGCCGAAGCCAACCGCGATGCCGGTATCCGCGAGGCCGAGTGCGAGAAGAGTGCCATGGATGTGAAATACTCGACGGACACCAAAATCGAGGACAACACCCGCATGTATAAGCTGCAGAAGGCCAACTTCGATCAGGAGATCAACACCGCCAAGGCCGAGTCTCAATTGGCCTACGAACTGCAGGCGGCCAAGATCCGCCAGAAGATACGAAACGAGGAAATCCAAATTGAGGTCGTCGAGCGACGCAAACAAATCGAAATCGAGTCGCAGGAGGTGCAGCGCAAGGAGCGCGAACTCATCGGCACCGTCAAGCTGCCGGCCGAGGCAGAGTCCCATCGTGTACAGACTATTGCACAGGGCAAGCAGTAAGTATTTAGCCGTACACTGATCTGATTAATCCTATAATCTACATATTTCAATGCAACATCCATAGGACCACCGTAATGCTAAGCACATCCCATTTTCATCCCAATGTATTTGAACTTGCCTTTTTTACACAATAGACCTATAACTAGCTTATATTTTCAGAGATGTTTGCGTTCATACTGCCAAACGGACGGACAGATGGACATGTTTTTATCAGCTCTTCTTATCATGTTCAAAAATAAATACATTTTTTGCTTTCTAGTACAGCCCATAAATAGTTAGTAGACATCAGTAGTGATAGTAACTTGACTCTGTCTTCAGTAACTAACAGTTTCTTAGTCAGTTTCGAATTGTGGAAAAGTAAAACCTCTATGATTTATGCTTTAGCGTAGCCTTTGCACCAAGCTCTGTAATTGTGGAGTTGTTTTCGAAACTCAGTCATTCATGGTGACGCTTGCTTCCTGTTGGCTTTCGCATAAAGAGTCTGCTTCCAGATATAAACCAGGAAAACCTGGAAATTCCAAAAAATAAAATAAACTCGTCCTTGCTCAGACCTAGGAGAATCTGGATACCAACTTTGGTTATTCTAGCATTTATAGTTTCTGAGATTCTTGCGTTCATCCAGACGGACAGATGGACGGACAGGCTGGACGGATGGCGGACATGTCTAGATCGATTTCTCTCGTCATGCTGATTCAGAATATAGATATTTTATATTTTATGGGTTTCCACAAACCTAATATACCCTTTTTACCCTACGGGTACAGCGTATAATTAGTATTTAAGTTCTCAGCTAAGAGGCGCCCTTTCTTGTATACCCTTTATTCAAGTACAGGGTAAATGGGGAACAGGATATAGTATGTTAAAAAGGTCTGCATGTATGGAATAGGCATATTATCTATCTAGCGATATAACCATATCCGATTGTTCGTCCGTCTGTATGAACATCGATAACTTTTGAATCTTAATAACTAAGAACACAAAACTTAGTACTATACCTAGGGCTATCTTATCCATGCGTAGATGATGCACAAATAGTATAATTATTTTATATAGCTGCCATAGGACCGATCGGTATACAAATTTGCACTTAGTAGAATAACTTTGTTGTTTATAAATATATTATTCTTCTTAATGTTTAACCATGTAAATTCGCCAGTTTAAATGAAATCGGAACCCTATATCTTATAGGTAGCACAGCCCCGATCGGCGCGAATATCAGTCCCAGCATAAAATACAGTTTTATTTCTCTCAATTCAAACCTTAGTTATTTGAGCTTTTAATTAGGCCTGACTGTGTTCTGGAACTTCTTTGAAATCACCATATTATATAGCAGTTTTAGAAAAGATTGGTGGAACAAAGTTTTTCTTTTATATGTATGTAGAGGGAGGAATGTCCATTAACTGTTAAATCCTTCCTACTGTGCCACAAAGACTAATGTCCTCTTCTCTCTCACCACAGATGCCAGACGATTGAGAGCGCACGCGCCGAGGCTGAGCGCATCCGGAAGATTGGCGCCGCCGAGGCTCATGCCATCGAGCTGGTGGGCAAGGCGGAGGCGGAGCGCATGCGCATGAAGGCGCACGTCTACAAGCAGTACGGCGACGCGGCTATTATGAACATTGTGCTCGAGTCGCTGCCAAAGGTGAGTGTGGAAATGCCGATTGGCTGGACTGAGTACCAGATTATAATTGAAATGTTTCTCCGCTATTGACAGATTGCCGCCGAGGTGGCCGCACCGCTGGCCAAGACCGAGGAGATTGTGCTGATCGGTGGCAACGACAATGTTACCAACGATGTGACGCGTCTGGTGGCCCAGTTGCCGCCATCAATCAATGCGCTGACCGGCGTCGATCTGTCCAAGGTGCTGGCTAAGATTCCTGGAGCCAAGGCGTGAAATCTGGAATCTTGGAATGGGACGTTCAGCAAATGGCAATGACAACGTAACGCAAAGGAATTGGATATGGATACGAGTGGACGAGAACGATAGGCTTAGTAGGGCAATCAGCAAGCAACCGGGACAGAGAAAAGTGGAGGAGCGAAAGAGATAGTGAGGAGAGAAGGAGATAGAGCGCACGTTGGCTAGAGGGGGAACGCGAACTTTAGTCACATTGGATGGATAGATGGATGGAGTGTGTGTCGGTCGGTCGGTCGGTCGATCAGTCGGTCAGGCAGGCGGCATCGAGCGAAAGTCTTTAGCAAAATGTACTCCGATATTATATGTATTTGTGTGTGTGTAAAAAATTTCACGAAAATTGTGGAACGCCAGAACACAGACAGACAGACAGACAGAAATCAACAGCAAATCGCATTTTGTGGCCTTTCTCGAATGACAAAAAAAAAAAAAAACAAACAAAACAAAAACAAACAAAATTCACATCTAACTTTAAATCGTGCAAAATAAATGTGTGTAGCTATATTTATATTTACATTGTCGTCGTGCATTTAACCACATACCTATATACACATATGTGTGTACATAAGTACGTACTTGTATTTACAATAACAATACATACTATAATATGTGTATGTTTCGAAAATCTAAGAATCTAAATCTAAAAATCTAACAAGTTAACTACAGACGCACAAACGCAGGCAAAGTTTAAAGCCCTCCAATGTATTTGATTAAGTGACTAACTACTAATAACATAATTAGCAATTCTTTTTACCCTTGTTTCTTTTATCCGTTTTTATCGGGGCTGGTTGTGCCTTGTGGGTGTTGTAAAGTGCTTCTAATCTACGCTAAATCTTAATTGTAACACATAACTTTGAATGTTGTAGTAATCGTCGAATCTAAATTAAAGTCCACTGCCGCCAGCGCTTTACAACAGGCACCGAAATCAAGCCAGTCTATAAATCTATCAGTTACTACTATACAATTGACTATTTTCCGACCAAACTAGAGAAAAACAAACAATAATGACTAAAAGCAAAAACTGCTGCCTCAGAGAACGTCCCACTGTGCCAAAAAAAATGAGCAACACAGATGCGATCAAAGAACAATCTCGCACAGCATAAAGTTGGTACAGTTGATACAAAAGATTCTTCCGCGCCGCACACACTTTCATTGCATTTCGCAACACTATTCCGATGACGCCGCAGATGCAGCTCTTCCACACAACGATTCGCAACTACCCGATACTTCTACCAAACAAATCATAATATATATATTTATATATACAAAAAAAAAAAAGAAGCAACAAATACATCAAAGCTATTGTTTGTTTTTGCTTATAATGTGAAACGAACTTTTCGATACAACATTTTCGGAAGACAACTTCAGTTTTTTTTCTCTCTCTCTATGTGTTTAGTTCTTAGCAAAGTTTATAGTTTTCTTATAAGGCACAAATCTATTTGTCCTAAATTTAGTTAAAGCAATTTATGCAATAATACTTACGAATATCTCAATAAACACTCATGTATTTCGTCATTGATCCAACTTCAATATTTACTTATAATAGTAATTCGTTTCTCATTCTGATTGTTAGTGAGTTGTTTAAATTATGTTTCATATCTAATCTCAACACCCTAGCGCACAATATGTTTAGGTTTTGTGTTTCCAACTCCTCGATATACATTTGTATTTATTGTATTTAATTAAGAAAGTCAAAATTTAAAAAATATATACATATATATTAATGCGTTTAAATTGAAAACAAAAACCATGTAAAATGTTTGCAGCCATCAATCGTGCACTGTTTTCATTGCAAAATTTGTAAACGAACCAAAACAGCAACAGCTTACACACACACCAATACACACACACACACACACACACATCTATATAAAAACGTACACATACACGTATGTGTATGCGAAAGTATATAGTATATTTTTTTTCTATTGTATTGTATATTAAGTGCAAGTAAATGAAATTGTAACAAGAATCTAACAGAAAACAGCACATAGCAACAAGCGTGTAAGAGAATTAAATAAATCAAATCGAACATTTTGTGTATTTTGTCGTAAATAAATAAAAATAAAAACAAAAACAACTCAAAGAAAGACGTTGCCTTTATATTTTAAATTGTTTTGAAACTTTTTACAAAATATATAAGAACTACAAATATATATTGTCAAAGAATTAGGCTATGCTCCATTTCCGGTGCATTTGTCATCAACAGATTTTGAGTAATTTGCTCGAAAATTTCACAAAATTAAACTCCAAATAGATGCCAATAGTTTCAGAACCCGAACTAAAGTGAAGCTACAAAAAATTGCTGAAATAATATCTTTATTTCTATTACGATACACACTTCCCACCTATGTTCAATAGCTTCAACCGCCCATCTTAAATGACTTTAAAAAAGGGGGATTTTATTATCGTTAGAAATCATAAAAAGCGTTCAACCGAATACTCCACCTCTTCAATCTTTAACCGCCGTGCCATTGCTTCTTCTTTTCTTGAACATTTCTAGCAATGTCATTTCATTTTGTTTTCCACTGTGATTATCGTCCTGGCAGCTCGTCGGGCTTCGTTTAAGTTCTGCTACCAAAAATTTTTACTTTTGTACCCTAGAGTAGAATCTAGCTCCACTTTGAGATTGGTTGGGCCCTTTAGGTGTTCTTATTTTGTGTTTTTAATCTTACAAACTCATTGAATTGGCGCAATTCTATTGAATGGGATTTGTAAAAAAAAAGAAAGTATAAAGTATGTTCTGAATAAAAAATTGATTTTCAAAAGTTTCTATGATATTTTTCCCAGTTTTTCGAATTTAGCAAAGGAGTTTACAACTTTCATTGCTTTATGTATGCCGATAGTAAGAGTTATTCAATGAAATCTACATTTTGAACAATTTTATTAACAACAATGAGCTTGGCTTATTTAATAATTTTTTTTAATTTTTGTGTTGAAAAGACAGCTAAACTATAATTTAAAATATAAATTATCCTCAGCAAAATAAATAGAAACTGTACCTAATTTTGTTAAATAAAGTAAGCAGCAGGCGTAAAATAATAGGAAATTAATTAACTCAGTTTCTTTTCCCAATCGCGTTCAACTAACTGGTAAATGCGTAATCGAAAAACATTCATCAGCTTTAATCTTGTCAAAAGTATCTTTATTTTAAAACATCAATCGTCACATATTCACAATATATAGTACAATATAAACCATAGAAACAATTAGTGGCCTACTACAATACGTAGGAGACTGGATCCCGGGATCTGTCTTTTAAAATATAGATCCATCCGTATGCATTTGCGGGATTCATTCAATATCGGTAAACATGTAGAGTACGTATGTAATGTATATATATATATATTATTATGTGCATAACTTAGACTACGAGTTGAACGTATCGGCTACTCTTATAAGCTATGGAGAATTTCTTGCCGCCTCATTACTATTCAAAGACTGGCTAATGGAGCTCAGTTTCTCTGGATGGAAGCGCGGCAAGTATAACCTAACCTAAAACTACGCGCTGCGATTGCTGTGATAAAAAAAAAAAACAAAAACAATAATGTTTACTATATTGAGGAATTCTCAGTCAGGGTCGACGCCTTTTAGCTGGAAAACTTCGCCTTCAGATCCTTCCGCAATATCTTGCCCGTGGGATTCTTGGGGACCTCATCGACGAAGATGACGCCGCCCTCGAGCTTCTTGTAGTGCGCCACTCGCCCGGCCACGTACTCGGCAATTTCCTCGGCGGTGGCCCCTTCGTTTGGGCGCAACACGACAATGGCTCGCGGCGCTTCGCCATTCACCTCATGGGGAATGCCAAAGACGGCAGCCTCGAGTATTTTCGGATGGTCACGCAGCACAGCCTCTAGTTCGGCGGGTGGCACCTGGAAGCCCTTGACTTTGATCAGTTCCTTCATGCGATCTGTGATGTAGAAGAAGCCCTCCTCATCGTAGAAGGCCACATCGCCGGTGCGCAACCAGTTGCCCGGATAGAAGGTGACCTTATTGGCCTCCTCGTTGTTGAGGTAGCCAGACATGACCTGAGGACCGCGCACACACAGCTCACCGGTGGTACGTGGGCCCAAGCCCTTAACATTGTCACCGTCGAGTGGCACAATCTTGGACTCGGTATTCGGCGGCAGCACGCCCGTCGACGCGTACCGGGTGTTGCCCTCGGGTGTGAGGAGCACCACTGGCGAGGCCTCGGTCATGCCGTAGCCCTGCATGAAGCGCGCCTTGGGGAATCTATAAAAGAGATAAGAGAAAGAGGAAGACAGTCAAGAATACCTCTCAGACATTTTTTTCACACAATTTCCCACAACTGTCCACTTACTTCTTCAGAAAACGCTCCACGTCGTGCTGTCCAATGGGAGCGGCACCCGTCATGACTGCGCGCAGATTGGGGGCGATTTCCTGCGTCAGCTTTGGATGGTTGATCATGAAGAGCACTATTCAGCAAGAGTGGGAGAGCACGATTGTAACTAAAGTGGTGCTATGTAGGTTAGTTAATACACACCAATGGGGGGTACTATATTGAGGACGCTGCCCTTGTAGAAGTCCAGGGACTTGATGAATTCATCCGGCTTGAAGGCCGGCATGGTGGCCAGACGGCAGCCGAGCCCTAGCTTCGAGAGCATGACCACGGTCAGGCCGTAGATGTGGAAGAAGGGCAGTACGCCGGGCAGCGTGTCCTGGAACTCCAGCGTATTGATGGTCAGTCCGCCATGGATCTGCTCGCAGTTGCTGGTGATGTTGTTGTGCGAGAGCACCACGCCCTTGGGCAGGCCCGTAGTGCCCGAGGAGAAGGGCAGAAAGACAATATCATCGGCACTGGCGTCAGAAGGTGAGCGCAGCTCATCGTAACGCACATCTTCAGTGCGAATCAGCTCGGCAAAGTCGACGGCCCCGGGGGGCAAAGCCTGGTCGTTGCTGGTTCGCACCACGACGATGGGCAGATCTTTCTTAGCCAGTTGGCAAGCCTCGCGCAGTGTCGCATACCCCTGGACGGTGCCAATAATTAGCTTTGCATCGCTGAAGGTCAACTGGCGAGCAATCTCATCTGCAAGAGGGAGGGGAGGGGATGAATGAATAGGCCTTGCTATTTATTTTGACGGAAAGGTGGGCAAGCTTACGATTAATTCCTAGACAGGTTCAATCATTTTGAAATGATTTAAGTAAATGAGATTTTGCAGTCTTTATAAATTTGATACAACAAAATAGTTCTCTAAGAATTTATATAAAAGACGGCCTATGTTTGTTCTATCTACTTGTAGCTTAGAAAGCATTTCGTAACTCTTTCACATTTGTCCAGGCATGTCCGCGGATTCTTAATTGAATTAACTTCCTTAAAAGTAAAAAAGTGTTCTCTTCCACATCGTTTGTATGGCCGCTATATGATATAGTGATCGAACATCTCGACCGATCTCGACACATTTATTGTCTGTGATCAATCTTGTTGATCACAAGTACTATATTATATCTAACTTTCTAGGTGATCTATAGCTTACAATTATTATCGAAGTGTTTAAGAAGAGTAGAAATCATTAGATTTTCAAATTTTCAAATACATATTTCGTATATTTTCCCATTTCGTCTATTCTTACGTTCGTTTAGTATGAAAAGATTTCTAGAAATGCTTTATAATTCCCTTTGTAGACTGTTTGGTTTGTTGTTAATTAAAAATAAAACCCACAGACTTTAAAGTAATTACTTTCTTCAGAAAAAATAGAATTGTTGCCTAACTTATACTTTTTGCTACCTATCTTTTAAGTTTGTAAAAGGCTTCCTGTTAGCGTTAAGATCTTTATCTTTCTAACAGCTAATGAACTTTTCAAGTTGGGGAAAAAAAGAAAATAATGAAGAACCCAACACTTATTGCTCCATGTACTTGTAGTAATATCTGTTATACACGACTAGCTGGAATAAAATACCCAAATCTATGCGAAAAATGACAGATGCTAAGATAATACGTATTGTGTATGTGTATATATGTACATACATACTTGTATATACGTGCATATATCAGTTCCATCCCTGGCTTGGGCATTTCGGCGAACAGATTTGTCTACTCTAGCCGTAAATTGTTTATGACGTGCGCGAGATAAGTTTTTATGGGGCCATCGTGGCGCTGCCCCATTAGCAGATTGCCACGAATCCAGTTGACGCGTCTATGACGACTGCTATGTATGGTATGTATTGAGACTGGGAATGGAAATGGGAGTGCGACTGGGACTGGGAGCGGGAGTCTGTTATCGCAGGCCCCGACTGGTTGAGCGTGGGCCCCACTTACCAGGCGTATAGACCGGGTTGACCGTGGTCACTGTCAGGGCGGCCTCGATGGCGCCCAAGGCGGCAATCGGATATTCTGGCAGATTGGGCATACATATGGCGATGACATCGGGCTTGAAGAGCTTGAACTTGGTCTGTAGGCGTACGGCTAAGGCGGCGCTGGCGTCGCGTAATTGGGCGTAGGTGTACTGACGATCTGACACCACACAGACCTGCAACACAAAGGTGAAATAGATGCATGTAATACAAGTAAGTTATAAGCAATAAAAATAAGCTTCCAGCCCAATTCCAATGGACTGTCCCAGGGAATGTCCATTGGAATGTGCATTGGAAAGCACAAGACAGAACGCCCACCCATTCACGTAATTGTTTACAAACATGCTTCCCATGGTTCTTTGGCTCGATAATTGGCCAATACGGCAATGTCAGCAAATTGTGGCAAAAGGGTTTCAATGCCGGCCGGCTGACTGGCTGACTGACTGACTGACTGATTGACTGACTGATTGAACGGCCTTCAAATTGAAGGTCAGCTGGCCATTGGACTGCATTTATTTGTACAACGCCGGGCTCGTTAGTAAACAGATACAGCGTCATTAAAAGGAACGCAGAAGCATTCTGAATACACGTAGAAGGGGCTATTTGCGCAGTCGAAATTGACAACGAGGGCCCGAAATATACACATTTATATAAAAAGTGAAATATAAATTATAAATAAACAACACACACGCACACATACCTACATACATACATATGTACATACGCTCGGATTCAGATTCACACTCGTAAACATAGCATACTATTAACTCGCCTGTACTATGAATTGCGAAGAACGGCAACAATAATCGGCATAAACAAACAAACAAGCGTATAAAAAATATGTTTAAAATGTTAAAAATTAAAAAATCAGTTTGTGTATTTGGCGCTCTGCTTGAATGCCTCTCGTCTGGCTGCCTGATCAAAGTTCAGTGGGGCAAAGTACAAAGTCTGTTCAGAGTCGTAGTTGCTGTTGTTACTGTTGTTCTCGTTGTTGCTGTTGTTGTTGTTGTTGTTGTTGTCTAAACGAGTCGAGCTGCGTCGCATTGCTGCCTTGCTGTGTTGTGTTAGTGTGAGTAGTTGTCTTGGCTCTCTGTGTGAGCGGCTGCGTGCATGTGTGTGCGTGTGTGCGTGTATGTGTGTGCGAGCGTCGTTTGTTGACTTTCAAGCAGAGCAATACTTGTACAAGAAATAAATAAATACAAAACAAAAATAAAAAGCTGTGAGAGCAAACACCACTAATTGGTGGGGGCCGGGCTCGCAACCAGTTAGCGTCGCTGTCGCTGTCGTTGTGTTGTCGCTGTCAACGTCTCTCTCATCTCGCCTCTCTCACATCTCGTCTCTCGCATCCACTCACTTGTTGCACATCCACAACAAGTCACGAAACATATGTATGAAATTGGCTGCATTTTATAGCCAATACATATGTATGAGTGTATGTGTGTAAAGCATGTATATATGTAAATATCAACCGCAACATACAAAAATAGCTTCAAATCAAAAGAAATGCAAATAAGAATGTGAAGGGGGAAGGGGAAAGGGAAGGAAAAGCAGTTCTGCAAACTCATTGCATTTCGGTTCACCTCGAATGAGGCAATGCGCTTCAGTGGACGACCGAAATCAATGCCGTCGATTGGAATACCACAAGCATACATACATACATATGTACATGTTCACACTCATGAACACTGGAATACTAAGTGTCTCGAGTGCAAGTAAAGACAACCAAGAATACAGCACTGCTTCCATGGTAGCTCACAACTAAACCTACTATCGTACGATCACTCAACTATCAAGAACTAATTGTCTTTATCTGCGGCGATAATACCAATGTGAGAGGTAAAGCGAGTGAAAGTGACATTAATAATTAAAAATTAAAAAAAGCAATTCAAACGAATATACACTCGTTTGTATATCAATATATGTATGATGTTTAAGATGTAATTCTGAATTTAATCGGCATACATTGTAGACACAATATGGTCAAAATATTGACGTCGAATGCTGTCGGCAAGTCGGCCGTGGCCGCTGCGCATACATTAGCTTGATTTTCAAAAAACCCTAATCGATAATATACATATGTAGTATTGTGATAGAGGCATTTGCATAAGCTATACCGTGTTTGGATATATTAATAATTTAGTGTTAGTTCGTGCTAGGAAGGAAGCGAGTTGGTAAACAAATTAATGTGCTTTTATATTTCCCTTGACTTCAAAAGAACCACAGCTGTCCTAAGCCTAATAAAGAACTGAGGTTTCCACTGTGGCCACTGTTTTAAAGGTAGACACGCAGCAAACGATATCTGCAGAGGGTGCAGGGACATGGAGGGTCCTACTACAAGGGTCCTACTATAAAAATACTTATGTATATTAAGAGGTACTACTGCACTGTTGATGCAGAAAGGTATACATTTTCTTTTGAAAACGGGAACTGTTTCCTAAATAATAATATGATTACAAAATGATTGTGTAGTTCCAGCGCGTGATACCTCGTCATCGACTCAACGTGACTTTTATCATTTGGCTGGGCCTGCATTGTTCCCTTATGACTAGGCAAATGCCATATCATCCCCAATAGTTCCCGGAATCTGACTGCAAGCCAAGTCCCTTTGGCTACGTTAGATCGATTAGATCGATGACTAGGCGAATGCCATATCATCCCCAATAGTTCCGGGAATCTACCTGCAAGCCAAGTCCCATATATATTGATACTTAGAGCTGGCCTGAGGGAGTTGGTGATTCGGGAACTTTGGTCCATACCAGACACACACACACCTATAAGGCACAATTAGGGGGAATGGAAATTTGGCAGCTAGGCGGTTTGTTTCATTGCCAGAACAGAACCGAACGAAACAGGACGGAGCAGAGTGGAGCGGAATGGAACGAAACGGAGCGGAGCAGAACAAAAGTCGCACTTTGCACTGCTGCCTTCGTTGGATTTAATTGCATTTAATTCAAGTGCTTTTATTGCTATTTTAACTGCTGTTGTTGTTTATCAAACACACACACACACACACACTTACACACCCTCTGTAACTGTAATGGTATGTTATTGCAGCGCACCGCCGACTGGACAGACTGACGCACAGACTTTCGCCCCAATGCAAAAATTGTGGCAATAAATTTTAATATAAATTATTTGCACTTTGAATTCGTAGTGCAGCATTGTATGGGGCGTCTTGTTGAAGGGGGGCTGGGTGGGGGTGGCTCTTGGGGGTGTGTCAGGCAACCGGATCGTGTCTCAGTCCATCCGTCAGTCGGTCCGTATATTTTTGCTTGCTACACGTGTGACAGCTGCACTGAAGCTGTGTATTTTTAGACAATCGTCATTCGCTCTCACTATGATCAATTGTCCCAACTAGGGCTGGAAAGGTGCGATATGTATGTACATACATATATGGATTGTGATCTCGTTCAAGTGTTTTCGAATTCATAGCAAAGCAATGGAACAAGTTGTGATCTAATAATCGCGATCACTTCTATTTGGAATTTCAATTTGAATTATCTCTAAACATATCTTAGCTGGTGATCAGCGAACAATTATTATTACTACTTGTATTATCCCTAGTAGCGGAAACAAATGGACATACTATGCTTAAACATTTTAATTTGTTGTGAGAACTTCGGCAACTACCTTCTAAGAGGAGCATCAAAAACAGACGACGTCGCAAGAAGAAGAAAAAAAAGAAGTGTTTCCCCATCCCTGGCTCTCACCTTTCTTTTGCGTCTTTTGTATGGCAGTTAAGCTTTTTATAGAGCTGATCAAAATGCGCAAAACATTTCATTTTAGCACATAAGTATGTAAGTATATTGCAATGACAACAAAACACCATGCAGTTAATGGCGGGTTGGGGGGCGTGGCGGGCTTTGAGGATTTGGGATCGCTCTTATCAGCATACGCACATACAAACACACATACATACATATGTATGTATGTATGTATGTATGTACATGCGCCAATTAGCTCAGAGCGCAAACTTGACTTGAACTTGAGTACGCGTGAGTGGATCGATCTCTGCATAGCATTATCCCCCCACCCACAATGCACATACACACACATACGCAAAAGTACATGTGCATGCATATCTACATACTTATGTATGTGTGTGTGTAAGCTGTGTGTAAGCTGTGTGTTAGCATGTGTAGCTCCTTATCATTCACGGACTGAAGCTGATGTCACGGCACGAAAGTAGTCGTCAAACGCTTATCAGTCGATAAGCACGGATTGGTGGTGGTGGGTGACCTGAATAGAAAGCGCGCGAAGACTAAGGCACTCGGAATGACGACGGAGGCAAGTGGGCTGCTATCAGTGCTGCAGTCGGCAGTCATTAGCAGGCGCTGGAGGCAGCGCAGTCTACCACATTCCAGACTCTGTCGCATGGCCTGGGAGAGACCAAGAGCTGGCGGTTCAATAAACCGTGTGAAATGCAAAATGCGAAAAACAGACACGGCAATTGAAACTGATAAGAAAAATCAATGCAAGGTTCTTCAGCCACAATTGTGCAGAGTTCTTTCTATCTATGCATGAGCCCCCATAAGTGGTTTCACAAGAGTGTCTGGCTAATCCCCCATTCCAAAGAATACCCCTTACATATTACTCACCGCAGCCGTTTTCTTCTCCCACTTCTTGAAGTCCCGCCACACATACTGATGCAGCGGTACATTTGGCACGGTTATGGGCTCAAACGGTGAGGTCTTGTAGTATCCGTCTTCGGCATTATAATGCAGAAACTTGTCCGTCTCGCTTATGCTTTGGGCACGCTCTGCACTAGCTGTGCTGCGCTGTTGGCGGCGCGGAGAGTTGAGCGCCCGTGAACTGAGCAGCACCTGGGCGCCCAACTTAACATTACGGTGGACAGCGGCGGCTGGATACATATTGGCAACAAGTTGAACAGCAAGCGTATATGGTTGTGGGTGGCCTACCGGCGACTAACTCTTGATACTGGAGGTTGGTGGAAAGGAGTTGCGTTCGAGCGACGAGGATGAGGGAGCGCGAGATACACTTGGCTGCTTGGTGATTGGCGATTGGCCTCTTGGCGGGTGCACGCGTCTACACACGTCTGCTGGTGTCGAGTGTTGGGGCACGACTGTCGGTACCAGTTGACGGCAAACAAGAGTGTCTGCGAGAAAAGCGACGCACGCACTCACACACTCACGATTGCGTTGGCGTTACCCTTGCTGTGTGGCCCTCCGTCTTGCTTATATTATTTTTTGATCTTTGCTGCGCTCTCGTTCATGCTCTACCTGTGCTTGTGTGTGTGTGTGTGTGCGCAAGAGAGGGTGTGTGTAAGTGAGTAATTTCTTTTCCCTCTCTTCTCAGCAGCAGCAAACAACAAGTGGAAACCGGCCGGTTGCTGCTGCTGCTGCTACTGGCGCTGCCGTTGCCTCTTCTGCTTCAGATGCTGCGCTCAAGAGCCAGCACGCGTCACTCTGTAACTGTAAATTGAAATAATCTGTCAGTTATGCAATTAAACATTACGACTCCAAATGCATAATTAAATACATATAAACATACACATACACATAAATGTAAATGGGTGAACTACTAGGGATCGAATCTCAATTCAACAGATAATGAATGTATTTATACCCTGTACCCGAAGGGTATATACTTGTAGAGTATATTAGGCTTGTGAGAAGTATGTAACAGGCAGAGAAGGCAGCATTTCCTCCACTATACAGTTTTTTGTATGTACCTTTATTCTTAATCGGCCGGGAGAAATCGATACAGCCATGTCCGTCTGTCCGACTGTCTGGATGGATGTCTGCATTTCTGAAACAGCTATGCCCCCATTGTTACCTTCAGGTAATACGAATTTATTACTATTATTTGTATTCCCGCCTCCCCCTGCAAACTTTTCATCCAATCCATAAGTTGTCAACTAAACAATTGCAATCCAGTACTACGCTCACAATTTGCTGGAGCGGGTTCGTCCTTCTTCTTTTTCTTCTCTTTCCTTCTAGGCGGACTATCGGGCTTGCTCGACTGATGATCGATCGCGTCAGTTGTTATTCGCGCAGTTCCTGGCTTAGAAAGATTTGGCAGTAGGTGGACGAGGGTCCTTTCTAAAGATATATACATATACACACATATTGTATGTTTGTATCTTTTTGAACCCATTGATTGGAGGACCTGTTTTATTAGAGATGCCGTTGCTGTTTTATTTTTCTTGCTGCACTTGATTATGAATGAATTAAAATCGCTATCACTTGAATATAATTTGGACATCAGTCTGAGCGCGACTGGTCCTGAGCTTGATGTAAAAAGAAAATCATCAAATTATTTAATTCCTTCTGGAACATTATCAATTTAATCAGAGTGATATTTGCTGGAGCCAAGTTCCGTGAATAATAATACTTTTCCTAATTCCTTCTCAATTTGATGCTTTTGTTTATTTTAGAACTATGTACAAATGTATTTGATTCAAGATTAGTAAGCTTTCATAGTCAAATGAATGCAAATCGAATAGAGATATGGCAAAATTTCAAATCAATAGTGATCCCTTTAGGGTTGAGTGAGGGTCGTACTGAACGCTCTGGTTAAATAATATTGTTAGATCGCTTTTATTTATTTATTGATGCGTAGCCCTCTCAATCAAGTTTTATTAAAGGGGCCTTTTTGATCTCAATTGCAATTCTGAGAAATTGCTATTTCGCGAACTTTCACAATTCAAGTGGCGGTCCTCCCATCCACCCCCTTACCGGCGAGAGCGCTAGTCGAGATGCGGACGTCTCTCCGGTTGTACTATAACAGCGTCTTCCAAAGTTCCATTTTCATAATCTTTTTATTTTGACTTTGTGGCATGACTTGTGCCTTTTTGGCGTTAACGTTTGCGTTGGCGTCAGTCAACCGCTTATCACTGTTTCCCCGATTAACTAAATGTATACGAATGTACTATACAATTGCATATGTACTATATGTATGTATACATATGCATATAGACTGCAGATTTGGAGCGCACTAGACGACTAATTAACACACCCGTGCATGCAGATTTCTATTACATATATTCATTATAATAATTGGCTTTGAAATATGAAAAGACTGATCGAGATTAGGCTGAGCCTTGAACCAAACATCGAGGAGATAGCGTCGGCTTTTGGCAATAAATAAGTGAAATTTTGACCTGCAATTAAATAAATATTTTAGGATCGATTGAAAGCCCAGACAATTGGGTGGGATCGGGTCCCAGTTGGATGATTCGCTTTGATAAGGGCTTTGGGTGAAAGGAAGAGATCTGACTTGAAATCCTTTTATCAAATCTACATTTTGGCTTATGTGTTAAGTGGTTAACTGATTAAAGTTTTTAACCAAATTTAATATCCAAAAACAGCAATACTATGTATATACGAGTAAGTTCTGTTGACTCTAAAAAATGTGTTTTACTGGCTCCTAAAATAGGCAATAGATATGTTTTTCTTGAAACTATAGTATTAGGTGCAGACTAATGCCATAATATATTGTGTTCATAAACAGTCTCGAATCCAGATCACCTCTTCAGACAAGTTTCTAAACATTTCATTGAGTGGCTGTTTGATTCCTTGGCGTATGGGTTAGAACGAGCTTATTACCGTTAAGTAATGCCATCGCGAGATTAATTAGAATTTGAGTGCCAGATAAATCGTTCCGCCTGAATCCCTTCATAATCAATGCCATGTCGAGGCATTTGTTGACTTTGTAACTGAAGCGACACGAGGTGGGTAATGAAAACATTTGCTTCAATTGTTGTTGCCACAATCGTCATGAAATTCCACGATTCGATTCGCCATTGGCTGGCCTGGACTGTGCTAGGCTGGGCTGGCTGTTGGGTGCATTAAACTTTTCAGCAAAACAAATTCGCAATGATGGGGCACTAGGGGGAGGGAGACGGGGGGACACGTGCTGTAAGTCGATGCCACAAGTTGGAGGGAAATGTGTAGGCTTGGAAATGTGATTAGAGAGCTGCGAACGGGTAACAACTGCTCCAGCAGCAACAACAACTATGTACATATTTATGTATGTACATACTTACATACATACATATGTACATACATACATACATCAACAGAAGCAACAACAGCAGCATTTCTAGCTCAAGGCCAGACCCGGCGGCAGTACAGTCGTTTATATGTATGCTCATACATACATATTAATCTGTCTGTGCGTGTGTGTTTGTAGGTGTATGTATGTATGTATGTAATGCGTCCATTTACCTGTGAGCTGAGTTCGATTTGCATGTGCCTCTCTGTCGTTCGGCCTCTCAGTCGCTCAGAGCCTTTCTCTTTAGCTCTGCCACGGTACTGTTACTGTGCATTTGCGCTTGTTGCTTCCACTGATTTATCTTTGAACTTTGTACCCACAAGCACTGCGCTTGCTTTCCAAACATTGTCTGCAGTGCATTCGTCGCGCCAAAATCAGCAACGAGCGACAAAAACACTAAAATCTATACAAAATCCGAAACGCAGAACCACAAACCTGTTTGACTTGCATTTATGTTCTTGTTGTTGTTGTTGTTGTTGTTGTTGTTGTTGTTAGTGTTGTGTGCACTATTTGCTCTCAAATTGAATGCATATTACGGGACTACTTGCGTAGGCTTAATTATTTAGCTTACCTGAGCCTGCAGGCCAGCTGCATCTGCATCTGCTCTCCCTCTGCTCTCCCTCTGCCGCGCTCTCACTTTGCGCTCTCGTTGCAATTCTGGTGCACAGATGCTCGTTGAGTTTTTTTTTTTTTTTTTTTTTGCAAATGTGCGCTTTGAGTTTAGTAAATAAATATTGGCCACAGGTTTTTAACTGCAACTCTCAGCCACCACTTTCACTCACACTCTCACTGCTAATTCCACGTAAATGTGTATATCTGTCTGTGTGTGTGTTGCGACTTCTCCCTTTAAGCTCTGACCCAACGAGTCGACCAACCATATGTCGACAGAACCTTTCGTTCGACTGAAAAACACTATCAACATGCAAGAAACGGCGCAATTTTTGAGCAGCAATGCAACCCCCAAGCAGTGGGCATTGGGGGTAGCTTTCTAATACGTCTGTGGTGCTCAGGTGTGGGGTGGCCTGGTGTGACCATACGGCGGTTGCAAATAAATGTCGAAGTTTTCAAAAAACCCAACTTTATTCGAGTTTTAAAGTAAGCGTATAATTAGTTTGTGTTAGCCAAAATCAATTATTTTTTGAGCAAAATGGAGTTTTTAAGTGTGAAAGGCTGAAATGCCTAATTGCGTTAAATCATTAAATACATGATGACCCTTTAGGCGACACGAAAATTAACAAATATTTATAAATAATACATAGTTTACATTTTTTTATCAGAGAATTCTCCCTTTCCCGTGCTGTTATATTCCTCAACCAACACACATACATATGTACATATAGTACATACAAGTACATATATACATATGTATGTAGATGTTTGGTTTCGCGCACAATTGTATTATTTTTTAGGCTTTCTACATACTTACATGCATACATAGTTGTATATATGTATTTCTTGCATGCCTAACGAGTTTCAATTTGCTTATGCGTTGATTATCACTTGACAGTTGTATTTCGGTTTGAAGGCTGTTGTTTTAAATTAAAAAATTACAGAAAATTAGCTTGTTATGTACATATATGGAAAATAATTGTTTAAGTTCTCATCTTTATATACATAATATGTGTGTACATATAAATTGAAATGAAATCAATTAAAAGCGCAAAGGCACTGTAATTAATGGCTCTTAATTCGGCTCATCCATTGGAAATTGAATTGCATTGTATTTGCGACAAAATAATATTAAATGACCCGTCAAAGTTGTAGCGCCACTATTGAATCAGAAGGAAGTGCCCTTTCTACTAATTATTATTTTTTTGTGTTTGTGAAAAGTTTCCTACAACTAAACAGGTAGTTAACCTAACCAGTATGAAGTCAACTTAAATTAAAGAACTTTACTATTATTATTTTCAATAATTAAGAATATTAAAGACCTAAGATGAGCTGCCAGATCTGCTGAAAATGTCTTCTATGGCAATGCTGATGTGAGCGCACTTCAATAATGAACGCTAGAGGGCAATCGGACTGATTAGATAAACTTCGGCAAAGCTTTCACGAAAGCTTTTGGTTCGTGTCGCAGGTGTGGAGCTTGCAAAGCTTATTCCAATGCACCCCGCAAACGAACACCCTGTAGATTTGCTACCAGCCCGTCCAG